AATATGTTCCAGAAATCAGTTAGGAATAAAGCTAATAAGGCTTTTAGGGAAGTTATAACTACTGAATTTATTTATGAAAGTGCATTTTTTTGAGATTGATAAATTACAGCGAATGAAATGGGTGCAGTTCAAATTAAATATATTCCTTTTGCGAGTTATTAAGAATACTTGTATTGCTCTCCGAGGTGTGTGGAAGTTTTTAGGCTTAAACACATGGAGTTTGGTAATTTTATTATCTCCACGGGATAGACAGATATATGCAGAAAAGACTTCGATAGGTGCTTCGTTGCTCATAGAAGTATATGATAGTTATTTCTTCAAATTTGTTTTAGAACCTAGTCCAATATACTCCGAAATAAGCATTATATATATACATATAAATATTATGTATATATTATAAGTTCTGAACGTCTAAAGCTAACGTTTCGTAATTTAATTATATCCACGTTTAAGTATACACACAGAAAAGACTTCAATAGGCGCTTTCTTTAGTATTCAAAGCATTTGCGCATTAGGCAAAGCTGAAAATTTCTTTGATTCAATAAGCAGTTTATAATTATATAATTACTGTATCATTGTCTCAAATGTTTAAATGATAGTGATAAAAAATTGCCAGCTGGTTGAATTGTTTAATTGAGCGTCCAATGAATTCAACTGCAATTGCGATTAGTTTTCACCAGTCAAAGCGAAATTCAAATTGTTTCGTTTCGTTTTGTTATACCCTGTACCAATTGGAAATGGGCTTAATGGTTTAGGCAGTATCTATTCACCCATAATTTATCTATTGTCTTAATCCAAATTCTGATCAGGTGTATCATCTTTTCTCCTTCTCTTATATCCTTCTCCAAATATAATAGAATTTCAAATGAAATTAGCTAAAGGCATTTAATGAATGAATTTGTGTACTGCCAGGGTATTTACTAGTCGGATCCCTTGTAATTGATTTGCTTTGTTTCGTTTCGTGTTGATTTGCATGCGTGCAGCTGAGCGAAATCGGAGCGAAAATCAGAAATCTCTGACCAAAAGGCAAACTGCTAACTGCTAACTGCTGGTGTGCTGCCCCTTGGGGTGGCACAGTCACGTAGCTGCAACGGCGGGGTGCCCTTGTGTGCCGCTTGAGGCCAAATCGAGAATATGGCCAACTGGCCAGGGTATGCATCGGTATTTGTGTCCAGCTTATGCAGCTGACTTTTGAGCGCGCTTCGCTGCGCCTCAAGTGAAATTTAATATTTATTTAATTTCGTTTTTTTTTCTCTCGCTTTTCGACTTATTTGCCAATTGGTGCGTACTTTTGTAAACAACGTGTTAACTTGTCTTTAAACTGAAAATCATTTCGTATTTATTTATTAACTTCAAAAATGTTGTAATATTTTGCGAATGACTTCACGCTTGAACGACTCAGACTACTGTTTAAACAAGTTTATGTAATATCGGGCTATAAAGTCGCGAATATATGATGTCACTTTTATAAACCATATCTCAACAATCTTTTATTTCTGTCTTAATGGCATTGAAATTATATTATACGATACGCTTAAAATATGTTATTTAATAGTGGGAATTACCCAGTTTTGCCAGGGTTTGCTTTTATACAAATCTGGAGAGAAATCAGTAATGAGATTTATACAAACTTATCTAGTTTTCATCAAGGGGAGAACAACCACTGTGAACTTGTTCGATCTTCGACATTTGCCGCTGCTCTCTGATCGAATGGGTTTCTTTTGCTCTTTACAGGACGGCACCACGCCCCTTATATTGTCTGCAGCTGGTGGTCACATCCATTGCGTGTTGGAGCTGCTGGAGCAGGGCGCTGATCTAAACTCGCGCCGATCGACGGGCACCACGGCGCTGTTCTTTGCCGCCCAGGCCGGCCATTTGGATGTGGTGCGAATATTGCTGAAGGCGCGCGCCAAGGTCGACACGCCCTCCTTGGACGGTGGCACGCCCCTCTTTGTGGCCGCCCAAGGCGGGCATGTGAAGATTATCAGAGAGCTGTTGGACTGTGGGGCCGATGTGAATGCCTGCATGAAGGTGCGTTTATACACTTGCAAAACGGGTATCGCGGAATGTTCATCACAGCAAGGGAAACAGTAAAATTGCATACTCGCAGAGTATTTCCTGTTGCATCTTCGATAACCCGCACTATGCTCTATTTCTAGTTCATTTGAATTGACTTTTAATATTTGATTCTATGCAGGATCGTGCCACGCCCGCTTTTATAGCGGCCCAAAATGGTCATCGAACTGTTTTGTCGTTGCTCATCCTGGCGCATGCATCGATGGACATTAAACGCATCGATGGAGCGACCCCACTCTGGATAGCCGCCCAAATGGGGCACGATCACATTTGCAAGGTGCTGCTGCAGAATGGCGCCAACGTGGACACTGTGCGCTGTGATGGTGCGACGCCACTGTTTAAGGCCGCCCACAAGGGTCACGCGTCTGTGGTTACGGTGCTGCTAAAATATCGCCCCAATTTGGGCCTGCTGCCCAATGGGGAAACGGCCCTGCATGCGGCCGCCATGTTCGGCCACATGACCGTCTGCAAGCAACTGGTGGCCGCTGGCAGCGATGTCCTGCTCAAGAACCAGGACGGTCTGACGGCCATGGAGCTGGCGAACCATGAAAACTACAGCTCCATTTGTGAGTATCTGCGAGAGCGGATGCGCTCGCTAATTGAACGCAATACATTGGCTCTGGCCAACATGCGATTGTCGACGTAAAGTCGTCCCAAATGGAATATGACCAAATCGAATCCCTTCAAAGTACCTTTTCTGCACAATATGTTGGATTATTTATTCACTTATCTTATGATTAGAACTGTGAAACAGCACTTTTTAAGAGGCCACAGAGTTCGAGCTATGCGAGTTGAACTTCTCTGATTAGACGATCTTATAGGAAGTCAGAAACTATAATTTTTTATTATTTTTTTTCGCGTAAATAAGCTGTTTTATAAATTTAAAATATTATCATGTAATAATACCCTGTACCCACTTTACGTAACAGGTGGTAGTAACCATCTATGGCCCAGAAAGTATGCATATATATTAATTCTTGATCAGCAGGATGAGCTGTCTGTCTGTCTATAGAAACGGTATAATCACAAAAATTAGTATATATGTTAAACATTTCGTTTTTAATAACTACAATTTTTTTGAATCGATAAATATCGATTAACTGACAGATTTTTGAGCATTTCTCTGAGAAAACAAAGTCTAGAGACACCAAATTTGTTCTGTAGTTTCTCGTATTCTACACAGGGATCAAGAATATTTCACTTTTTGTATCAATCCATCCCCTAAAATTGAGATGGATTAGTCATAATTGTTTGTGTATGCACACATTTAAATATCATCTACATTTCATTATAAATCACTGAGTTTCATAAGAATCGGACAATAATCACATAAGTCATAATTGAATGTATTTGTTATAAAGTGGACGAATAGCAGAATGTGACACCAGCATGGAGCTGGGTACAGGGTATTTACACGTCGGGGCTTCTCGACTAGACCACTCTTATATTTAACTGTATTCCTGACTGTCAGCAATAGTAAACAATATGTTTAATCTTATGTTATTAGGACATTCCCGATATGCTGTCAGTTCTATGGAAAACGGAAATATTTAAATTTTGAAGTTTATCATATTGTACATACGTTTCGCAATAATTCTCAGCATAGCTAACCTAAGAGATCTCACGAAATCTGTACGGTTAAGAGCTCTGTGACACAAGAAACTGTTTCATTTTGTTGTATAGTGCAATCAAAATAGAGGAGCAAAACAACCTAAAGATCCAAAATAAAAATATATATGCCCATGCTGAGCAAAGGCTATATCACCGATATATATATATATATATATATATATATATAAATATATATTTAAATACCCGGATATTATATCATTATAATATATGTATTTACTTACAACCACTTGGAGCTTGTATTTGAATTTACGATTACGATTAACTTTAGCAAATAGCTCATACTTACCATATAAATATACAAGCTATGAAAACCTGTTAACATGGACCCAGTGTCGTCCTTTATTTATAAATAAATGTATATATACATCTATATATATTTATTTATTTATAAATATTTATCTATTTATGCATTCACGTAACCCTAAGCAATTGTTAACAAGTGCTTTATTTTTATCCGCCTTTTTGTCTTATCCTAATATACATATTTTGTCTTAATTAGCTATTAATTATAACAAATGTTTTTATCGTTTTTCTTTATTGTTTTATGCTCGTGTACATTAAATGGTAATTTATCACATACTAATTTTGCCTCTAATATTTAAATTTTAACGGTGCTGTGCCACACGTTAAGCAATAACATTATGTTAGGTACCTAACGAAACTGTTAACTTGACAAACTGTTAGGTTGGCTCTTCGTTAAGCTGCTTCGTTAATGCAAGCAAATTCACACACCCACGCTTAGTATGGACACAACTATCGAAGGTGCAGGTCTGCGCGCGCTCTATTTTACATATTCGCCAAGTATCATACAAGTATAAACAAATAATTTACATATATTATTATTTAATTACAAATTGTGCAAGTGCAACACAATGCAATTAATAACATAATAGTCACAGCAAACATTGTCCGCAAGGCAAACACATTTGAGCTGTTCGCGATGCACATGTGCTCCCAAACAGTTTTAGCTGCACTATGCGATCACCATAGTTTTGAGTGCATCGTGCAATTATGCGCAGTTGTTGCCAGAGAGGTTCGCTTTAAAAGTTGCTGAAAATGCGCAGCAAAAACACAAATTTAACTGGTGCCTTAAATAGAAAAGGAAACTTAATTCAAATAAAAAAAATTTATTACAAATTTACAAAATTTGTGCGATGTAGATTACAGCTCAACTTGTTGTCTGTAAATTTGGTGGAACTGTCTGCCCAACATGTTGCCAATACCAAAGAGCTTCGAACGGCTGCAAACGGATTTCAGTGTTCAGTTCGTTTTTTCTCATTATAGCGCGCGGACGTGGAGACCGTTGTCGGCTCTCGTGTTATTTTTTCCCATTTCGTGTGAGTGTGTAAGTGCGAGTGAGCGAGCGCGTCGTGCGTGTATGAATGTGTATGTGTAGGTGTAGTCGCGTGTCGTTGAATTTTTCAAAAGCAACAGCAACAACAATAGCAGCCCAAACGGTAGCGGCAGCTCCAAAAGCGAAGAAGCAGAAGCAGCAACATAATCAAAAAACATAAAAACAAACAACAAAAAATAACAAAAAAAAATGTTGTGAAACGGAACATTTTGGTGGCAAGTGTTCTTAGTGTGGCAGGCGGGCGGCGAAAATGCTTTAAACAATAAAACAGGTTTGCACTGTGGTATGCGAGAGCAAGAACAAGACCAAGGAAAGAGACACAGTGATAGAGCGCTCTCAGAGAGAACTTTTGCGAAAATGTACTGCATTTGTTGACTGACTGATACGAGAGGGGAGGGTATACCCTGCAAAATATGTTTGCTATTTACCGTGGGCATCCTTTGGCAAGGTCTTTTGCAGAACACGCATGTTGCAGCTTTCGTCACACTGTGCTCTGCTGCGAACCTGTTTTCATTGCGTTGGTTTTACATATGTACATATTTCGATTTGCTGCAATCAATCGGAAAAACCGTTGGCCCAGAAGACCGTTACTTCTGGGTTGCCAAGCTAAATAGAAATTCCAGGCAGTCGCCCCATCCCCCTCCTCATTGTTGTAACAGCACAAAACAGCTGAGCTTTTGCAGTCGGGCCCCTAGCAACAGCGCGTGCGGTCGCAGCAGAAGCTTCTCAGCTGTGCAGGCGCAGCGCAGGCGCCAACATACATAAGAATGCATAGGCTGTTACTTTGAATTTGGGCTGTAATTGCATTGCTGCCATCTCGCTCTTGCGCACATCTGTATATGTGCAGTAGCACATGCCGGAAAACAATTTTTTTCTTTTTGCAGTCGCTGCTGCTGCCGCCGTCTCTGCCGCTGCCTCTGTTACTTGTGAAGCTTTACATAAGTTGACATTTTGCCGATGCTTTCAGAGCCCGGCTGCAGGTCCTTTGCACAAGTTCTAGCAACGCACTGCGCAATCAGCTGCTGCTCCGCTTAGTTAGCTGCCGACGTCACTTGCAACCAGACGTTGACGTTTTTGCAACTTGTTTCGCGTTTTTTCGCTGCGTTTGCGTTTGGTTTGAAACCGGCTCTCAAAAGGTTCGCTAGCGTCTCTGTTGTTGCTGCTGTTTTTCAGCTGTTTCGTTGTTACAAAAAACCATAAATATAAAAAATACAAATAAAATACAAACACCAAATCGAGCAGAAGAAGCAGCAGCAACAGAAACGACAGTAACAGCAGGCGAAAGTTCTCGTCGGCTCCATACTCTGTTCCCAGTATAAAAAAACAAAAAAACAGCTATAAATAGGTGGACGATTGTGTTAGTGTTACTTGAACTGTGATTGCCATGATTATTGTGTTAGTGGATATTTAGCTTTAACTGTAGGTAGTACAGTGAAGGCTTGCAAACTAGAAGGCGTCGATATTAAAAGTGATTTTAAATATTCGAATTTCTGAAAGTTGCAGTGTGCCACACCAAACAACCTAAATATAAATGAATGTATTATGATTTGAACAATTCTAGTTTGCGAGCGTCCACTGTAGTGAGTTTCAAACTGTAAAACTAGAGCATAAAGATTTTTGGAGTTAAGAAGAAACTTTTTAAATTTGTTCAAATAAGTTTTGAGTATTCAGCTACAATAGCACATTGCCGAACACCAATCCACCCGTTTTTCGTGAACAGTGTATAACCAAGAGTACAACCTAGAGCCAAGTGGTTTAACTGCTTTTTTACATTACACTTTAATTTGTGTCTTTTTTCTATTTTATTTCATTTCTCAACTATTGCCGTCCGGCTGTTTTTTTCCTGTTGTTAGTGCGTGGGGCCTTTCGAAAAGCTTTAAGAAAACTTGATTTATAGCGCATCCGCAGCCGAACCCGCGACCAAATACAGCTTAGCCCCCCAAAAAAAAGTGTTAGTAAATCAATAATATATAATAGCAAAAAAAAACAATGCAGCTAAAGTGTTAAAATAAAACCCGTTATCTTAAATCGTAAAGAAAAACAGCAAATCAGCAAAGATGTGAATTTGGACAAATTGTAGACTTAAAGCCTCAGCTGCTTCATAAGTACAAAATGGCCGCCAGGATGCACAACAACAACAGCAAGAACATCTTTTAACAGCAGCCACACTCACACACACACATCCAGACACCCACACAAATGCACAAATACACACAACACAGGCAAAGCCGGAATCCATTTAAAGGTGAGTCGTAAAATTAAAGTACAACAACATTTATGCGATTTTACAGTGCCAGTGTTGGTCAATAGCTTTAAAACGCACTTAATTACGGTTAAGATTTTTCGAACAAATTAAAAATACACTATATTTCTGATACTTTTAAATATATTAAAAACCTGATAGGCTTTGAAAGGTTTATGGTCTTCGAATATTCTTTTGGTAGAGTATTGAGAAATTTCAACTAACCAACAGCTGCATTGGGCGAAAATCGTCAGAGGGGATATTTTTTTTTTCGAATTCTTAGCAGGACAAACTATCTGTATCCGTACTACAAAAAATTTTGGTGAGGCTAACTGACTCTATTGCAATTTATTAATTATTTTGTTAATTTGGTGGCTCCAATTATTTCATATCAAGTTTCTAGTTGAATTTTTATGTTATACAGCTCAGTTTTATATTTTTTTTTCTATTGTCATGCTGTGAATCGCATGATGAATGACTTTGGCGTCTTTAATCAATCTCGCACTTGGTGCCAAGGCAGGGCCTCAACTTTAGAAGCTTGGCTGTTCGCATTATTTACCCTGTAGACATAGGCTAAAGGGTATATTGGGTTGGTGCAAATTTATCAGTGGAATCACCAACTACAACAGTGTCACCATCTCAGTCTTTAAAAGGTAAATTTGTATACCAAAAATTGAATCAATATTTTAAAGAACGGCTATATTTTCTGCTATACGCAATTTCTTAATGCTCTGCAAAGTGTACCGATGGCATATCAAACACCGATGTTATTTCAGAATGATTTTTCATCATGTTGGACTAAGGGAAGAAGAAGCGCAGCGCAGAGTATCCTCCAGTCGAACGCACGCGACAGCAGCATACTTGTTTTTCTTTAGCATCGCAAAACTTTAACAATTGAGCGTTGTGCAGTTTTTGTTATTTTTTTTATCGGTTTACTTTTTTTTTGTGTATTTTTTGCGCGAATTTTTACGACTATTCGGCTGGGGTTCAACTGCGAAGTGAGGGCAAATTGTGGCCAACAGCGACCGCGGGCCCATTCAAAATCCCGTCAAACCAGTCGCAGCCATTTGGTTTTTGCCTAGTCCAGGCGGACGGGCGGGCAGGCGGCTGGCTATCTCGGGCTATCGGACTGGCCAACTGGCTGACTGACTGGCCGACTGGGCCGTTGATGACTTTTTACATAGCCAAAGAAGCGGCGACCCAACCAAGACCCAGACTCAGACCCTAAACCAAAACCAAACAAGTAAGCGTGCTCTAGTCGAGAGTGCTCGACTAGGCGATGCCCTGTACCCAGCCCTGCGCTGTCAAGAGAACGTTCTTCTATAGAAGAAAAGAAAAGAACTTTCTATATAGAAATTTACTTCTTAAACAACTTTTGTGTTTATTGTCAGAAAGTTATGAAATGTTTAGGACCTTAAGATTATACTCAAATATGTCTACGTACCAAAAATTAAGATCTGATCTATAAAAATGCTTCTGCTTTGAGGAGAGGGAAGGAAGGTCATGAGAGTGTTAATCTTTTTTTAACTCTCTTAACTATCATACCCAAATTGCAGTGTCCAGCTGATATAATGTCAGAGATATATATGTATCAATCAATCAAAAGAAAATTATAAGTATATATTTATTATCATGTATGTACTACTTATAAAGGTACATACAGATTATAATGTATAAAATATACATCTATAAAATATATATATTATACTCTGAAGGAAAAGCCTCTCTTTTGTGTGCAACATACACTTGCCTAGAACCATTATACCCCGTTTTTAATAGTAATTTTCAATGGGTGCAGGGTATAAAAAAGATACGAGCGCCGCACGTATCTAAACTTGTTTCAAACGTGTTACATTTAAGAACGTTCGCCGCAAGCGGCAAGTGGCAATAATCCTTTCAAACTGACAGCGCTGCCATGTCGCAGCAGTTGAAAAAGAGGAGGAATAAGAAGAAGAAGCAACAGCGCATCAGCAGTATAAGGGCTGCCTAGTGGGTGTGGCACATTGACTGAGTTTCAGTTTAGTTCGCACAGCATATGTGCAAATTTTTAACGCGGGCCGTTTCAAAAGTTTATCGGGACAAAATGGAAATGAAACAGGAAAGACACATAAAAATGAAACAAGAAAGGCACATGAAAGTGAAACAGAGAGAAACTCTGCAGATTTGTTCAACTCAATAAAAATATATTTTTTTAAAAATGTATTTATGCTGACCCTTGGATATAATTCAAAGATTGCGATGTGGGGCAAATAGTATTTTTATGTTTCTTTCCACTCGTTCCCGTTAGAACCCTTGAGTTGTGCTTTTGAATAAAAGCTTTTATTTATAAAATTAAGTTAATTTCGAGTACAACTAATTGGGCTGCCCTCTGCCGTGTGTCTATCCTGTCCATATGCTGTCTGTCATTGTCTGGTTCGAGTTCGCAGACATTTTGATTGCCTGTTGTCTGTTTTTATTTTTTTGTTATCATTTATTTTTTATAGCGCCGCCATGTTGTGCCTTCTGCCTCCTCTGTGTGTGTGTGTGTGACTGTGCGAGAGTGTATACTAACTATAGTTAAGCTCGCACGATATGGTAAAAGATTTTTTACATTTTTTTTTTTGCTTTTTAGCAATCGCAAACAAAAAATGCAAAAAGTGAAATTGATATTTTCGCACAAATTGCCGTTAACAAGGTGGCAACCTAGCAACAACATTTTCGCTTGTCAAATTTTATTTTTGCGCCCCCTACAAATATCCCCTACTCTACGCTCAAAATGGACGTCACAAAAAACGACACAGCCAGGTGAACGGGAAATTGTTTACCGTGGTTCCAAAATGATGTAATTTCGCGTGCTCGTGCAATTCAATTTCCTGCCAGCGGAAACGCGCGTCGCTCTGTGCTCACCCATCGAAAGCCAAAAAACATCAGCACAAACCCCTCTCCCCACAAAATAAAAAAAAAAGAGAAGAAAACCCTCAAGCACACAACTTGAAAGCACTGTCCAAATTGTTTGGCAGCTCCTCTTCTTTGCGCTCCAACTTTAATTGTCCCCGCACAGCGCCAAAAAAAAACGAGAAAATAAAAAAAAAATAAGATGAAAATAATAATAAATAAATAAGAATTCAATTTTGTAAAATTTGATATCTAAACAGCTTATCCGTTTGCCCCCACTGCCATTCAGCTGGCGGAGCACTCAATCAAATATATCACATATCATTTGTGCGCAGCTAAAGTGAACTAACAGTTGTTTAACTGTAACATACGGTTTACCAGTTAGATAAAGTTCATGGTAAATGGGAAAGCTTAAAGAAATTGACAGTATATATTGACTTTAGCAGCTCTTTTTCTAGTTAATATAAAAGAAGTACAAAATCTAGATTTATCGTGTTAAAACACATAAGTTCCAGAATCTCGACTCGGTTGGACTCTAAGATCTTGTGTGAGAGAGTTTCTTACATAAGCTTATATTATCTGTTTTTTTCACAATTAATTTAATGTTGTACAAAAAGTCAACGTAGACTTGTTTTCCAAATTCCTTTAGTTCATATACTCAATTGTTACTTTGACCTTTATGTAGAAGTTCTACATGGTAAAAATATTTTAATAGTATTATTGTGAAAAATCTTAAATTATAGATTTATTTAAATTATTCAGAATTCTGAGTAAATATAAATACATTTATAATTTCCAGAAGCTTTTCAGCCTCCAAATGCAACTCGCTCAAAAATTGTATAGTGTATATGATGTGCGGTATTTGAATTATTTACATGCAATGTGTGGAGTGTTGAATTTTCAAAATTTTTGGCATATTTCGCATAAATAAATTACATTCAAAGCCGATGCCCGGTCAGGCTCTGCCAGCTCCCAGCCCAGCTCTGGGTGCCCGGGCAGCCTATATTAACAATAATTCCTTTGTGCTGGCATCTTGCCAAAAAGTTTTTGTATTTTGTGCCCGTACAGCAGGCGACGAACGTTTTGTGGCCAATTTCGGCTGCAAACGGGTAGCTGTGGCATTTGGCGGCGCTGTGGCATGGTCGACGTTTTGTGACCCATTGTCAGTTGAAGTTAAATGCGACGCCTGACACAAAAAAATGAAAATAAACTATAAAAAATGCTTTCTGGCAAAGGACAACGCACAACTTACGATGGGCAATGGACAATGAACACCACAAAGTCCGGAGTTCCAAACGTGACGTTTGTCAACCATTTAAAATGCTAGAGTATTCAAAATGTCCTGCAAACTGAGACCCCAAAGCCGACACTGAACAGTTTTTGTCAACTTTATATGCGGAAAATGACAAAGCTATTTCACTTTATTAAACAACTATTTTGTAGTCGGGTCAAGTGCTTTCTTTTTTAAAGGAAGTGCAATCTCAAAAGTCCAATTGAATGAAAAATAAAATGTTTTAGATGACAATCCCCTTCAAATGAGCCCATGTGTCACCTTGGAAATATTATTTTGTCAAGCCTTTCACCCCAACTGATCAGTTTCGGCGATATGTTCTAACGCCTCAATAAACATATATTATATACGTTCACTGAGTAGGCACTAAGAAATAATTCCATATTCATCGATAATTTTCAATCGATAGTTTGATGGCTTATCGATTCTGTCTTTAGTCGACTACTGCCTTAATCGATAACAGTTTTAAGAGCACCGATTCGAAATTTGTATATTTTAACTTATCAAATAAAGAAAAACTGCTTTCGATAGTTAATATATTTCGACGATTGTTCTAGTGTAATGTCATGCAGAGATCAGGGAGCTCTGTATTAATCGAGCTATCGATTACGGCATAAATAAATTTTTCGAAAATAAATTAAATTTGAAATATGTATTATACAAATAAACATTTACACTAGTAAATTTATCGATTGCTCGAATACTCCTAATATGACAATCAATGTTAAAAATTTAGCGATTGCAATTACTTTTACAGCGACTGTTTCTGATCGTTTTCGGCCTTTTTTTTTTTGGGTGTATTTGGGAAAAGATTTGAGCTGTCCTCCAAAGGGCAACTCGACCCACAAATATCTTGAGTAAATTGGTTAAAATACAGAAATTTGAACACTTAACGCCCATAATAGTATCTGATGGATTAGACAAAATGCTGCCGCTGACTGTTGTAGATATAATAGTAGCCACCGTTGAAACGCAATGTGACCATATCGCTGGTCGTGGCCGGCGTGTTTTCCAACCCTTCCAATGGCACACGGAGCTGCGTTTGCGTCAGATTGATGGTGCGATAGAAGAAGGCGGTCAGAAAACTGGCGCTTATCACAAATGCTATAAAAAAGCCGAGGCAAAATACGCAATCCTTGTTCACCTGCAGGCACAGGCAAAAAGCACCGGCAAAATCGCCCAATGTTTGGCCAATTCGGCCCATCAGAGTGCGCGGCCGCGCAGGCGCCGCAAAAGCCGAGGAACTATTGGTGCTAATTGTAATCGTATGATATCTGCGCTCACACGGTGGCAATATATCCACCTGATGATTAAGTTGTTGCTGCTGCTGCTGATCGTTTTGTTGTTGTTGCTGCTGGATGCTTCTAATGTGGCTCTTGGGTCTAAACGTGCTGGTCACATCCAACCGCAGGCTATTAACCGGCAGCGTCTGCGTGGCCAGCTCACAATGTTGCGTGACCTGCAGCTCTGTGGTGGCATCCAGCTGCACCGTGGAACGCTGTCCACTGTTGGCGGACTGTACATGCTCCTCGATGGCCTCCAGATTCCGTGTGTAGCGATCGAGCAGTCGCAATATGCGCTGCAGTCGCTCATCATTGTAGCGCAGTGAGGGTGAGGCTGTAGCTGTGGCTGTTTCTGTTTCTGCTGCTGCAGCTTTTGCTGTCTGTTCCTGCATTAGGGTCGCCTCATCTGCATCCTTTTCGGGTTCGCTGCGCTTCAACATGATCTCAATCATGTCCTTAACCAGGGCTTTGGCCTCGTCCAGCTGCTGCCGCTGCTGCAATGCGCCCTGCCAGCTGGTGCTGGTGCTGGGCAGCTCAAAGCTAACGTGCTTCGGCTCTGCCCCTGCCGCCACCTCCATTGCCACTTCCACATGCAGCTGCGGGTCATCCGTTTCGGTTTCGCCCACCAGGCCGTCTGGCAGCTGCAGCATTTGTGGTTGCTCATCGGACGGCGTTTTATTGTCATCATCCATTGCTAAATTTGGGTTTGTATTTTCCAGAGCTCAAATGAAATTCATTTTCATATATTATTGTGTTCGTCGTATGTTGACATTTCAGATGTATATTTCATTTATTTTAATATGTTTATTTTACTTTAATTCAAACTTTTGTGACAAATTCGAAATTTTATTGCTTCATGGCCTTCAGAGCGACACAAACTGCCATCGTCATAGACACCCTAATAGCCGACTTAGTTCAGGAGGTTATTGAACGGCGTCTATTGACGAAGGAACCTAATTCCTTCAAACTCGGTCCATGCCAAAGGCTGTTCGATATACTGGGAATAATTCCATACGGCCAGCAAGATGCTGATATTGTTGCCGTTGACGATGTTGAGCTGGACAAGATGTTGGCTCTCAAGGACATCGATGCGCCACCTCCGATTGATACTCCATTCGGCAACCAGACAAATGAAAAAATACAAAAATGGCACAGTTGGTTGATTGAGGCCTTGGCTGCGGGTAACATTTCATTTCCGACAGATAAGTAGAGATTAAACAGGCAGCTAGTTTTAGAAAGGCTATACGTTCTTTGGTGTGTGCCTTAAAAGAACGAAGAAACTTATTGAAAGTTGTTCAAATTTCAGTAGATTCTTCGAGATCTACAGAATTGAATGTTTTGGAAAGGATAACGCCAGTTAACTATGAGTTCTGCGGAAATCAATATTTCCTTACAGCAGCTGAAATGTAGCTTAATTAACCATATTTCTTTCATTCCAAGAAGAAACCAAATCAAGAGTTCTACCATTCAAAAAAAGAAAATAACTGCGTCCGTTAGCTCTTGTATCTTTAAGCTGATGAACCATCAGATCCTAACAATGTTAAGAGAGATCTTCATATTTAACCGAAAGGTTGCCAGATCTTCATTCCGTAATATCCTTTAAATAGCGATATTTTATATACACACAGTTAAAGAAAGTTGTCGTATCTTTTGCATCTTAAAATCTATGATCGTGTGGATCAGGAAGACTTTCCAAAAGAAACCGATCGTTATTTTTGAAAAAGATTTGAGGGGCTTTAACTTATGTGCTATTTTCATAGTATTCCGCTTAATGCTCGCCTCTATTCCGCAGATAGCTCTGAAGATGAATTGGAAATTTATCGAAAATCAAGACAGACAATCAAACAGTTTAGTAATAGCGCCTGTCAAACGGAACAACCGCGTTTCCGGAAGCGTAATCCGGGCGTTAAAACGCCAGGAGATTGGGCATTACGTGGAACGGCGCCCTGTGAGCTAAATCGCCAGACAATCTTTATTGATGCAATGTCAGTGCCGACGCCCAGTTTACACAGCCGCCCCCCGTTGGCCGATCGTTTCTGCTATATGTTGACAGATTTTGCCTCGGCCCTGTACTGTAGTCTTGCCATCATGTGTTGTTGTACCCCAAGTATGTTTCGATAAATAGGGTTTATTATTTTTTGACTCAAATTGCGTTTAATTATCGACAAATAATTAATTAACTACACATCAGTCAAGTTGTGGGACCGCTCGCGGCGCACGGATGCGGTCCAGTGTCTGCTTAACATCCAACTGCTGATTGATATTGTTCTCCAGGAAACTGTAGTAGTGTCCGATGATCAGATAGAGGCACCACAGGCACAGCAGCACGAACAACACATAGGTGAAGTTCTCGCCCATCATTGCAAGGCAGGCGAGCAGCGTTTGCCCCGCATCGTGCAGCATCTGCAACAAGCGCTGACGCATCGGTGGACGCTGCAAAGCTGTTGATGAACTAATCGATTCCACCTCAATGTGTAGTGTATGCGCCTGGGATTGGGATTGGGACTGCTGCTGCTGGTGGTGCTGCTGCTGCTGCTGCTGTTTCAGCTGATCCTGCAGTTGAACGGATTTCTTCGGCTTCTCTGGCTTCGGCTTGATCAGCTTTTCCTTATCGGGCGAAACAGGCCAATAGGTCTGGCAGGCCGCCTCGCAGGTGAGCTTCGGGGGAATCGCCAACAGCGTTGAGTCTGACAGCTGCATGCGACTTAGACTGACGGTGGCCTTCACCAGTTCGCTGCTTTCCGCTGTGAAACAGTTGGAAAATTCTTAAATAACTTCTGGGTCTTCTCGGTTCCTGAAGGTGGCATTTTAATGTGCGTGTTTATCAGAAATCTTAGTTATAGCTTCGGAGAAATGGAATCCTTAAAGTTAAATATTATTGATACGAAAACATGCATTGTCATTTCTAGTTTTCATGAACCACAATTCATAAACATGCAATCGATTTTTATCGATTCTGTTGGTATAGCAGGGGCTATATAAAAAATTATCTAGTTTACTTTTATCCCAAATGAAGTCTCCGAGAAATGATAAGCAACCTAGCCTTATCGATAACGTACCGAAGCACCTGACCACATTGGACTGTCTAGCATGGTGTTCGAGAATATACATATATACTAAATGCAATCGGAGACACCGCATTCTACCTAAAAAATACTTAAGACTAAACCTCTTTTTACCCAATTATAATGGGAACGGGGTATACACTCTCTAGCTGAATCTTCAACTTACACTCTGCAGCCTGGAGATAGGTCGCTGTAAACTGCTCGGACTGCGTACGCTTGAGCTTTGGCTGTGCCTGTTCGGTCTCTTTCATGATCTTTGAGTAGTCCTCGAAGAGATTGAGCAGCTCGACAAAGCGATCGGTGATCTGTTTGTGACTGACTTGGACTTCGGTCAGAAAGCTGGTCGTCGGTTGCAGTCCTCCTGCGGGCAGATTGAGCTGCGTGGCCATCTCTGTGGTTGCCTGCAGATTCCAGCCAATGCTCTTGGGATCGGCATTCAGTTCGGGCACACACTCATTGATATCCAAATCGAGCAGCACCGCTGGCCCATTGTCGTGATTCTCGTTCGTCTGGATGGGCATTTCGTGAAGATGTGCAAAATTTAGATTTTTGCTTTTGCTTTTGCTAGCCGCTTTTCTTGTTGTTGTTTGTATTTATTGTTGCTGTGTGTTATGTGTATGTGTTTTGGTGTGTATTGTGGTTAATTCCGTTTAGAATTTTTAGGTGTATTTTATATATTTCGTATTTCCGTTTGTCATTTCTAAAATTTTATATCGTCTGTCTACTCTATGTCAGGTACAACCCTTAGCTCTGCTTCGGTTCGTCTAGTGGATAATTTCTGTTGCGCTAAATTAAGCAATTTTCTCTAAGCGTCTGCTGAACTTTACTACTCCAGCTGACCAAGCCGGTAACTACCTAACCCAACCCTCAACCCCGCTCAGCTCGCAGCCGGTCAGGCTGACCGTTGTCCAAGTTAACCCGCCCTCTAATATGACAATTATAACGGTCTGCTGCACTAATATTGCATTATTTTGCATAAATGCATTTTGCTAAATTCCGCTTTAAGGCACAAAACAGTTTTGGCTTTCAAATTTTACTTGAATTATTTAACTGGCGGCTGGAAAATTTCCATCATTGTGCACTTATGAGTATATACTTCAGTACGTATATTGATTTACATATAGGTACGAACTAATACGTATATATAGTTATTAAATGCAATTAAATTATTAAAGTTTAATTAAGTTTGTGGGGAAAACCCACATAAGAGCAGCTCCAGAGCAACGCTCATGATGTGCTCGTACGTCTTATTAGTGTATAATGTGAAATGTATTGTTACGGTAAACAGTTTGACCGTGTTTATAAAATCTAAAATAATGCTTGAAAATCAAGTTCGTTCTCAGTGATATTTTCAGCACCTGGCAAATTCATAAAAAATTTTATTTACTTTTTTGCTCAGTCAGAATATAAGAGAGCCAAGCTCTCAGGGGCTCAAAATTCGTTTTTGCCTGTAGTCATTGTCCAGCTTATTGGCTACCACCTGCCACCAGCTGTGGCAGCCACTGTGGCAACTGTTGTGTGCGCATCTTTTGGCCATTGATAATATTTAAAGGGCTTAAGTGCCCCGAAGATTTATATTGGCAAAAATCTCCGGCCAGGGCAGCAGCAGCAGCCGCAACAATAAAAGAAAAACACAATTTATTGATTTTCTCGCACTTAGTACATCATGTTTGTTGTCTGTGCATGTGTGTGTGTGTGTGTGTGCAGCGAGGCTGCTGTTGCCATGAGCCAGGCCAGGCCAGGCCAGGACATGGGCCTGGCTTAAACTGGCAGCTAACGCCTGCGCCCGTTTCGTCTGCCTGAGCTGATTGCTGTTTGTGTGTGTCTGAAAGGTGCTGAAGCAAAACAACTCAGCCCGAAGAGGCCCCAACCACAGCTCGCTTATCCCCTTGCCTAGAGATACATTTAAATTTTATATTGCACATTTGATGCACACCCTAACGCTACGAACCAGAAGCTCGACATATGAAATTAAGGGTTAAATACCTGTGAAGCTGGTATAAAATTTATTCTCTGAATGTTAGGAGAATATTGTTGTTTATTTCTGGGAATATCAGTGGACTTCCTATGAATATATTAATATTATTATATTAAGCCTTACCTTCAAAAATATGCTGGCTTTTTCTGGGAAATATCGCGAAGTTCTCTTTTTAATTCAATAAATAGACTAGCTATTTCTTTTGAATATTCGAAGAAAAGAAACGCAGGTTACTTTCCGATTAAGAGAGTTATGCTAAGAATTTTCAATATACCTAAATTTAGTATATATAAAATGTATAGGATCATTTGCTGTGTCATATCCCGGTTCCTCTTTATGCAAAATAAATTCCATTAACCGAGTCAACTGCTGACCTGGTGACCGAAAAATGTGGCGAATTCTTTTGGATGTGTTCCCTAAAAAACTTTTAAAAATAATTTTAGCCGCAGTCGCCTCGTTAATTTATGAGGTGTTGCTGATTATTCTCTCGACTGGTCACATAAATATAAACCATGCTTACAGCATACGAAACTTTGCCAAAAAATTCCTAACAGCACCCTCTCACTAGCTTGTGCTCCTATCTCTACTCCTACTCCAGCAGGAGGCCATAAATATTATTTGTTTAGCTATACATATATGTATACACCATGCACATATAGATACATAGTATATTTTTCGCTTAATGCTTGTTTGTTTCCTATTATTCGCCTCGACTCGCTCGTTTATCATCGCCTGCTGCAATTTTGTATCTGCCCCTGTGGCTGCCGCAAGAGTTTAGCAACTCGAGCGCGCCCAGCATGCATTCAATTAAGTCTTGCCACAATTTTCAGATTTTTATCCCAAACTATCATCATGATTATTACCAAAATTTGGCAAGCGCTCTCGTCAGAACAAGATTGCGGATAGACTATAATGACAATAATATTTCTGTCAATTGAATACGAGAACCGAAGCTTTAAAGACTGATTGTATAAACTTTTTTGTTTAAATAAAATACATTTTGCGTATTATGCCAAACAAAGAAACATATATATTAAATACCTAAAGACAATATTTGTCCGAATATTTTCTAGAAATCAGAGCGATGCGGTCAGAGTTTTGAATACTGTTATTTATATTTCTTAAATTCGACTGAATAAATATTACAAATAAATACAGACTGTTGCGCAGTTGGCCATTTTTTGAATGCGTAATCCCTACTTAGGTATATTAGATATATATGATTGTATTAGGCTAGTTTTACTGGTAAAGTCAGTTTTATTTTTTTTTTTGTGGCATCGACTCGATAATATTTGAACATCTACTACCTGTCTATTTAGATAAGCGCTCGTATTGACTTTGCCACACCCATGCAACATGTCAACTAATTTCTTATGCTCCGCTGTACTTCTACACACACAAATATATACATATATATATACAGATATATACATCTTTTCATATGCATTATATATAATTATATTTGGCTGTGTGATTGTGTGTGAATGTCACAACCGCCTACACCTGCCAGAGTCGTCAAAACATTGTCAGAGCGTTTGCCACTTGTCTATAGACAATGGTAAAAGGTAAGTGAAATATCCGCTAACCACCTCTGTCTCTCTTCTGCCTCCCCCTGGATATGCTACTGGCAATCAGTAGCTGGTTACCTGTGCTCCCTGCCTGCAGCTGCCTAGCTGCCCACTTGGGCGCCACTTGCTCCTGTTCCTGCTGTTAGTTGACATTTAATGGCATTTGACACTCTGCTCGGTGTGTCCGCAAGACAAAGCAAAAACATCAGGTGCAAATATTGAAAGAAAAAAAAAAATGAAAAATAACAGTAAAGGTATATAAGAAAACTAAGTAAAATACCAAGAGAACCCGGCTAGCAGATAACCTGTGCCCTGGTGTGTAATAAACATCAATGAAGGGAGGTTGGACACACATTTACCGACTAAGCGCGAACGTAAAGAGCTCTATTCACAGTCTAAACTTCATTTGCCTGTGATATACGAGACACAAGAAATTTGGTGTCTCTTCCAGGGATGGGCGCGTGTGGGATTATTCCAACGCGATACGAACGGGAACTACAATTCAGAAACAAGCTCGCAAAAAGTTGGCATAGCCTCTCTAGATAAATTTTCTATTGTCCGTCTTACTAGATTTATAAAATCTTCTATAAAAGACTTCACATTTTAATCGGAACACGTCGTGCTCAATCGTGTCACGAAGGGAAACTGCGATCTTTTGTAATAGAAATATAGTCTGGGACTCGAGCACAGATCTTCGCATAGAAAACACGGCTGATTTCTTTTCTCTTACACAAATACACATCACTTATCATGCCCTTTAATTACATTTTTACATGTACAGGGTATAAGGCAAATAATAAAAAAAAAAAAAATAGTGAAGGATATACGCCTAATGGAAAATTGTCTAAAAGCAAAAAAAAAAATCAATAGAAGCAAACCGAAGACGTGGCCAACAGGCTGCAGCACTTGCCTAATGAAGTTGTTGCTGGAGCAGAAGCCTGGACTGGAGCACGAGCAGGAGCAGGCGCATCCTTGGCTCAGGCAACGGAGCAGGAGGAACATTCTTGCACTTAATGCCTCTGTTTGCTCAACTTTATTTGATGTCCTTGTATGGTTGTTGTTTCTGTTTACCAGGAGCTCCACCAGGAGTCGCACATGTTGTCCATGCAGCACGCACAGGCGCTGGCAACGGGGTTGAGGGAGGACAGGCCAGAGGTGGTTTAATGCATTTAGCGGTGCTTGAGTGTGCTCGTTATATACTACATACATATATATACATAAATACATATACATGTTATATGTACACATATGTGCTTCGATATGGCTGCTCCCAGAGTCCTTTCTGCGGTCAAATTAATGCCGCATATTCGTATATTTCTGCCCTGCTTGGCGCAATTGAGCGAGGGGGCAGGTGGTCGGCTTGGAGGCTCGAAATGTCTGCATGTATTTTTAATTAATTGCATGCCCGAGTCAAGTCGACGCGCTTCGAATTCGCAAGGCAGGGGAGAAAATGCAAGGATTACTTCATATTTCACGTAGTGTATGTATAAATTGCGTGTGTGCCATACCGTATATATAATTGCTGAGTTAAATTTCTCCATTTGCACACTCTAATTAAGTTAAATCTGATTGAATTATGTTTGTTATTTAATTCGAAATGAATTTCGATTAAAGAATTTGGAGCGCTCATTGGGAAATGTTTTCAATTCAATTTGGCTCAACAATTTCATATGTGAAAGAGTGAGAAACGGCGCGAAAAAGAGTTGAGAAAGAGAGGAAATAAAAAGTGGAATATATATAGAGAGAGAAAGCAAATTACAAAGAGATAAGGGAGAAGCTCTGTATTATATAGCTTATCGTGTATTTTATGTAGATGAAAATAATCAAAATATGAAAAATTAATGCCGAAAATAAAGACAAACGAGAATTGCTTTTCAAAAGTTAAAATTAAATTCATGATGTGAACTATTTATACCCTTGCAGTGGTTATTCAACTTTCTGTCATAAAAAACAAATGGAGCTCTGTTAATATAACCATATCTGATTGTTATCAGAATTTACGAGCTTATTATCATTGGTGCTTTTTTTGTGATATTAAATTAAAATATCTCTGTTACATATGAGTGCAGCGTATGTGATAGTCGTGCATATTGTCAGCGTGGTAGCAAAAATAAATTGTTGCTTTGTTGCTGCCCGCGGCTTGACCGCAAGGCTAAGCCGCAAGCCGCCTTTACCGCAGTCGCTACATCATTTGTGGTTAATTGTAATTAAAGCTCAGTGGTTTGCTTTAGTGCACACATGCACCCACTTGCAACCCCCATACCACCCACCGCCCACCACCCACCAGGCACCCAACAACAACGCCCCTTCTCTTTGCCGCACGCAGCAGACTCTGTTGGATGTGTCATGTGTTAAACAAACATTTTAAAACAATTCGATACGCTCTGTATACAACAAAAGAGCACTCTCTCTCGCTCTCGCTCTTGCTGTCTCTTTCTACTTCTCGCTGTAACGTTCTAGCCAATTTTTGGCAAGCCAAATTAATAGTTGCAACAAGTTGGGCACTTTGAAAGAGGTTTATAATGCCCGAGACGACTGACAAGAAGCTGCACAGAAGACACAGCCCCCGCTCTAATCCCATTCCCATCCTCAACATCAGCCCCAGCTCCAGGCCCAGATATGGCAGCTATAATCTATTTCCCCAACAGCAGGCAACGGATTTTACGGCCACGCAGCAGATGAAACTGCGGGCGGGCGATATGCGCATGGCCCGCATGCAGATCAGTCTAACCAAGCTGCGCCTGGAAATGGAGCAGTCCGGCAAGCTGGTCGAGCAGCTCTGCCAGGAGGCTGAGCTGGAGATGAGGTTGGACAAGAGGCAGTGAGAACTTCATAGCCATGCGAACAAGCTCAAGGCCTGCTTCAGGAATTGTCGTGTCTTTTAGGGATGTTATAGATATGCGAAATTTACGTGCTAAAAAAATACAATTAAAATGATTTAAAATATATTCAGCTCTCTTTTTAAAAATATCGAGTTGATTGAGAAAATAAAGAAAAGAAAACGTCTCAAAAAATATTTTTAAACACGATACAAACCAGAATTCCAATGAGCTTCTATTTTTACAATACTGACTATAGATTAGTTCTCAATACATTAAAATATCATTGATTTATTACATTTTCTGTCACGATAAATACAATATTTAAATTAAATTCTTTTTATAATATACATATTTTTTAAAATAAACCTATACAAAATTGATATAAAATGTATATTAAAAACAATTATACTTTTAAACCTGGCTCACATTTACTTATGCAAAGCCTTTGCTCCATCTTTTCAGTCTTTCGCTCCCCTTGAGATTCTAAGGAAGACGGCGCCATGTTCAGTGTCAACCAGTTAAAATAGACCGACTCCCAAGTCAGTCGCAAGTAGCAATCGGCAGGGACAGCAGAGAGAGGTGAGTGTTGCTCTCATATGTTAATAACTTGCCACGCTTTGCATGGAGTGGGCGGATGGCTTGATTTAAATTAAAAATTTATTGCATACTTTTTTGAGCGCTGCCATGGCATATAAAATAAATACAAACACACACATACACACACACACACACATCCGCACAACATATAAATTAAATTGTTGTGCGCCCAGGGGCGAGCAAGCAAAAAACATGGCATGCCATGAACTCCAATTTAAAAACCTAAACGCACGGGTTAAGGACTCACAGTCTGAAACTCGTGGGACTAACTGGCGGTGGGGCAGCGATGGGGGTTCGCGTGGCGGTAGGGGTCCCGTGGCGTTGCCACTTCAGCAAACCGTTTTTGATTACGCGTGTGTTTTTCGCGTGCAACTAAATTAGCGCACCTGTAATCAAGTTTTTCAGCTTTCCATAACAGAATTTAAAAAAAATAAAAAAAATACGAAGAAAAAGTGTTAACAACGATGCTCGCATGCCCTTTCTATAGAGAGAAAGAGAACGAGCCAAAGTAAACAGTTCGCAAATGTCAACAGCGAGAACGAACAATATTGCAGACATGCGATAATAACATGAATCACACGGGATAGAACAGAGTTTTTATAGAAAACTATCCATTAAGTCTATTTATATATATATATATATTTCAATTCTGCTGAAAGGAAAAAAACATTATACAACACTGTTTTTAATAAAATACATGTAAACTTGAATTCATATTGCAAGTACGACATAATTATAAACATTGATTACACTATTCAACAGCGAAAAAGATTTTGAAAGATTTATGAGTTTGATTATAAATAATTAAAAATTATATTTATTATTAAATGTACTCAGCAACTTAATGACAAAGCCGTTGTCAAAGCGTTTAACTAAGTTCATGTTAATCGTTTGCAATTAACTATTTTATGACTCAGTCAAAGATTTAAATGGTTATTTATTTTGTTTCTTTTAATTTAACCTAAACATGAATTGATTTTTAATACAATTAAAACTGGGTTATTTCTAGAATAAAAATTGTAAGTTTTGCAGTTCTTATCTAGCTTTGTTTATGCTATAATTTATCTATTTATAATGTTAACATGACTGCAAGCGTTGCCAGATTGCGGAAAATTCCGCCATTTTTTGGCAGTCCTTGCTTTTTCACGTGTGAATATTGCATGCATTTGTGGCATGTAAAACAAATCAATGCCCAAATAGTTTTCTAGCTTAAGCATTTTAGGCTCTAAAGTCCTGTAAGTCTCTTTTTTACAATATTTTAATGCATAATAAAATGTTTAATTAAATGAATAATTTCTCTTCTGAATACCTGTTGGGAGGGTCCTTGGCAGCCTTCCTTTTAACACTAACTTCACGCGCCTTGCGCGTTCTTAGAATTTTCCCCGCCTCTCAGTAATTTCGAATATGAACTTAGGTTTCTTAGAAATTGATTATACCTATTTCTTTATATATTAATTTTTTTAAATAATTAACTCGTGCAAAGTTGGACCAACACACAGCAGGTCGTTTTTAATTGCAATTGCAATTTTTATAAGGTTGCAAATAAGTCGGTCTGCATTTATTCACAACAATTTGCGGATTTGATGTGGAATTGAAAGTTACAACATCAAAAATGTATTTATTTTTTAGTGATATTCTTTTCACATAGCAATTGCACATTTTATAGACGGAAATAAAGTGATAGATTTTTATATTGAGTAAAATTCCTATATTCATATATTCCACTACTTTCGTACAATAGAGCCAAATATTGTTATTTTTGCATATTGGCGCTTATAGACAATTGTCGCATCCGCTCTAAAAGTTAATTCGAGCATATAAGCTGGTATAAACTTATCGTCGATTGTAAACCCATTCACATAGTAAACAATATCCTGCAAGCAAACAAGATACTGGCAAAAAAGAAAACATTTATAGGATAAGCATGTAAGAACCTTCTTGAATGGACAATCCAGGGGAAAATTGGAAACGCGACGCAGTCCAACAGCCACCATCTGGGTCAAGTACTGGTTATGAATTATGTGCAGGGCCTCACAGTAGTTCATCTCTTGTGCCGTGTAGTTAATAAATTTGTTACCATGTTTAATTGCCAAACTGTAGATCCCACTGGCATTAGTCACGTCTTGGATTAGTTTGAACTTCGTATAGATGCCAGAAAGGTTTTTAGACGTTTGATTTATGTGACAATTAAATGATTCCATTATTTCCGGATCCTGAATCTCACACAACACTTTGGAGAATTCGCTTATCATCTTAGGCTGTCAAAACAATTATATTATACATTTCCAATGTATTGTAATTATTAAAAAGTATAAGAAAGTTTATATATCTCGAATTATGTATGTATAATATACTAGATTCCATATATATATATATATACCTTCGCAGCTAATATAACCAAAACAAAACCGGAAAGCAAAGCCGTTTTCAAAATGTTGACGTTCATGGTAATCGCTTGCACTCAACTATTAATGCTTCCATTATTATATACTGACTAACCTCAATAATGAAACGGTTTTGGTGCGAAAAATAATCGATTTTTAATACAAATATTAAAACATTATCTTTCGGGTTTTTATCTAAGGTAATTTATTATCTGCAAATATTAGAAAAGTAATTAGAATATAAATTATAGTATTGCCGGGTCGCATTCATTTTTGACATTTACCTTTGAGCGTTGTCACATTGCAGAATAAGCAAATGTTCTTAACGAAATCACAATATAAATCTATATTAATTATATATAAACATTTCCCTTTTGCTGTAAATTATTTTAAGATTTAAAGATTTTACAACTTGTCTTCTTCTTGGTTTTGGTTTAGTTGACCACTTTCACCTTAAACCTATTGAAATATAATTTTAATATTATTTTTAAATACAGACATAATCATCATTAATAAGTCCAGTCGAGAACGCAATCTAGATTGCGCAACGTTTATACTTACTTAAATGCTTAAATCGATTGGAACTAATAGCAAAAATCAAACATGCGCAGACTAAAAAATTAACAAGATGAACTTTATTCAAGTTATTTGTATTTTGTTTTACAATAAAATATTATATTAAATTATTTGTATTCCTCATATTATCCTTTAATAGACTACTCTGCCAATGGTCGATATGCGAAATATCTTTCTTTTTTCTATAAAACATTCCGTGATTGTCTGAAAAGTGCCTTCGGGTACATAACTTGTCAAAGGTCAAACTGTCGGTAATATCATTAACGGTCATGATTACGAATACTCACCGCCTTAAATGGACACTGAAAGTCCCCAGTCGTATGCCTTTTTCAAGCTCTTTGAGAAGGTGCTCATGATCGGGTTTTTATGTACCATTGTTAAAAAGGAGCACGTATCCGTGTGCAAGTTGTACAGGCGCACCTTTTTATTATCGGTTTTCCAGAAGTCCATACACGAGTTGACATCCATTTTACTAATATTACGTTTGAGTATCAAGTTGCCACTGATGTAACTGCGATTATTAATTTGAATCATCGAATAGTGCAGCTCCTCAACAAGTTCTGGTGCCGAGTGCTTAACGTTCACTTTATCAAATATGAATCGGAACTTGGATTTCTCTGTGGCAACAACCACACTCACGAGAAGTACCCACAAATACACGAACATGGCTAAAGCGCGGCTCAACATGAAATGAACCATGCTCAAAGCGAATAAAACAATTTGGCTCAATAATTACAATTATTTAATTGTTTTATCATCTATCAGTATGAGCTAAATATGGACTATTTTGCCTTTTAATTTTAAGCTTATTATTTTTTGTTGATTTGCATACATGTCCATGGGGCTATACAAGACACATTCGGGTACATAGAAAGGAATATCTGTTTCATCTATAGCCCAGTTAGTCAGGGTGTAGTTTAAGTTCTGTCAAGAAAGAAAGAATATGATAGACACGATTTTGGGTGCAATATGGATACAAAATAAAAACAAGTAAAAGGTTCTAGACGGGAGCTCCCGACTAGGGGATACCCTGAACCCTCTTCTGCCGACAGGCGATAGGTATAAAATGAAAAATACTTGATATATACATATAAACTATTCTAGAAGCTACATGTCAAGTTGCATGACTCTAGCTGATATTATTTGCCGAAATTGCTCAAAAAACAGGATTTCGATATCGATTTTGATCGATTACTTGGAAACGGGGCAAGTTATCGAATATCGGAAACAAACTCGATCTGCGCGGGCACTAGGAGGACCTACAGCTAAAATTTCAAGTCTCTAGCTCTTATAGGTTCTGAGATCCTATTCGTACATACGGACGGACGGACAGACGGACGGACGGACGGACGGACGGACAGACGGACGGACGGACGGACAGACATACGGACATGGCTAGATCGACTCGGCTGTTGATGCTGATCAAAAATATATATACTTTATGGGGTCGGAGATGCTTCCTTCTGCCTGTTACATACTATACCGTGTACACAAATACATTCTACTCTTTTTACCCATTTTTAATGGGTTCAGGGTATAAAATTATAGTCATCAACATTACATTAAATGAGTCTAATAACCTACATCTAACACTCACCGGTTGAAATGGACATCCTATATTCTTGGAGCCGTATTTATGTAAAATTTTGAAGAACACGTTTAGAAACCTGCTTTTATTCGTGCCTCTGAGAAATTCACAACCATCGATTCGTATATTGAATAGCCGCATAGTTTGATTGTTCATTTTTGTAAAATACAAAGCCCATTTTACATCGATATTATTTAAAATACGTTTTAACCTCAATTTGGTGCTGACATAGCTGCGATTATTCAGTTGACTAACACGAAAGTCAATCTCTTCAACCAGCTCCGGTGTCAAGTTTTCTACGATAGGGTTGTCCAGTATGAAATGAAAATTTTGCTTTGCATTAACCATCAATATGAGCAGTACCCACAGATAACTAAAACTGGACATGGTGAATGCTTAGTACTGAATGACCGCTATGGCAATTACTTCAATGTATAAAATCAATATTGCTATATTTTGAACAATTTTGTTCACAACAATCAGATATATTTGTGTTGATAACATAATTGAAGATTTATGTACGCAATACCAAAATTGAATACCCGTGAAGATTTATCAGATTTAAATTATATTATTTCTATTTTTCATTACTTTTTAGTTTGCCATTATGTGAGGAGTTTAGTAGATGTTGTTATGTTTTTATATTTCAAGATATTTTGAAATCAATTATGGACCGAATGTTTCTATGACAACAGTGTGACATAAGTAAAATTTGTTCTGCCTTTAGCCCAGATTTCAAAGATTTAATTAAAAATCTGGGAAAGAAAAAGGAGGCTTCTATGTGTTTCATATTTCATGATTGTAATGTTTATTTATAGTCAAGCTCCTTATTCTTATAGATAACCCTACCAAGACTGAGAGCTTGAACAATCAATTTAAAACTTGTAAATAATTTCAAGAATATCCTAATATTACACTGTGGCACATAATTGGGAAAGTCTTTCTCCTCCATATACCAGTTAGTAGCGTATAGTTGAAGTTCTGTAAATGGAGTTTTTGATATACATTATATATTGTTATTTATATATTTTACTCACCGCCTTAAGTGGACATTTTAGGCTTCCCCTTACTTTGTTTAGATAACTTTCGGCAAATTTCCGAAAGATGCGTATCTTATGAAAGGCTGTGAAATACTGGCAAAAATCCATGCGTACATGAAAAAGACGCATGAGAAAACTCCGATTTGGTGACTGCGTCAGTTGACAATTGAGATCCTCGAAGAGCTCATCAGTCGACAATTGAGATCCTCGAAGAGCTCGGGTGCAAAGTGTTTAATTAAAAACTGATTCAACACAAAATGAAATTTGCGTTGTTCCTTCTTTGTATCCAACAAGAGAAGTAGGCACAAACATAGCCAACCAACCGGCCATAGCGAAAGATTAACTCAAAATGTTTTCCGAAATTTTGAACAGCTTATAATGTTATCGTGCGATCGTTGTTATAAAATATTTAATGGTTCGTTCATCAGACCTAATAAAATGGTTTTTAGTCTTTTAATAAAAAAGAACATTAATCGATTTCTGATACATTATAAAAACAAAATATGTAATCACATTATATTTTGTGGTTTTAGCTGAATCCTATTAACAAGTACAAATGAGGGGAATTCACAAAATTTCCGTTTGTACGAATATTCTAAGCTTTTGTTAATGCGATTAACCAATTGGTATTCACACATTTTAATATGTAATCGTTGCCATATTGCAATTTTTATAAAGTTGCAAATAAGTCAGTCTGTATTTATTCACAACAATTTGCGGATTTGATGTGGAATTGAAAGTTACAACATCAAGAATTAATATTGTTCTCACATAGCAATTGCACATGTTATAGACGGGAATAAAGTGATAGATTTTTATATTAAGTAAAATTCCTATATTCCTTACTTTCGTACATAAGAGCCAAATATTGTTACTTTTGCATATTTGCGCTTATTAAATACAAATGTCGCATCCGCTCTAAAAGTTAATTCGGGCATAGTATAAACTTATCGTCGATTGTAAGCCCATTCACATAGTAAACAATATCCTGCAAGCAAACCAGATACTAAAAAAAGAAAACATTTATAGGACAAGCATGTAAGAACCTTCTTGAATGGACAATCCAGGGGAAAATTGGACACGCGACGCAGTCCAACAGCCACCATCTGGGTCAAGTATTGACTATGAACTATGTGAAGTGCCTCACAGAAGTTCATCTCTTGTGCCGTGTAGTTAATAAATTTGTTACCATGATTAATTGCCAAACTGTAGATCCCACTGGCATTAGTCACGTCTTGGATTAGTTTGAACTCCACATAGATGCCAGAAAGGGTTTTAGACGTATGATTTATTTGGCAATTAAATGCTTCCATTATTTCCGGATCCTGAATCTCACACAACACTTTGGAGAATTCGCCTATCATCTTAGGCTGTCAAAACAATCATATTATACATTTCCAATGCATTGTAATTATTAAAAAGTATTAGAAAGTTTATATATCTCGAATTATGTATGTATAATATACTAGATTCCATATATATATATATATACCTTCGCAGCTAATATAACCAAAACAAAACCGGAAAGCAAAGCCGTTTTCAAAATGTTGACGTTCATGGTAATCGCTTGCACTCAACTATTAATGCTTCAATTATTATATACTGACTAACCTCAATAATGAAACGGTTTTGGTGCGAAAAATAATCGATTTTTAATACAAATATTAAAACATTATCTTTCGGGTTTTTATCTAAGGTAATTTACAAATGTACCTATACTAAGATAATATATGTTGCTTATCTACAAATATTTTAAGCTTCTGTTAATAGGACTGCAATATTTTAATATGAGAGCGTTGCCATACTGCAGATATATCAGTGATCGTTATAGCTGTCTGCCTTTATTTACAATTTGCGAAGTTCATCTGAAACAACAGCAGAAACTTATTTATTTTCTTTAATAATGTTTTTGGGTACTAGCACTATCTTCACATTGCGATTACGAATTTTCTAGAAGGAAATAAAGGGTCAATTTTTAGATCGATATTTGTATTTTATTATTGTTCAAGTACGCGGGCTTGCCATGTTTTTAGACCCCTAATATCTTGAATCCCGTGTCTTAATATTTAATTTGACATTTAATTAATTTAATACAAGTTTCTAGTTCATCGAATTAAGAACTAAAAGTTAGAATACAGGTTCTCAACCCACTTCAGTCTCGTGCTGAAAATCTTTAAGCTCAAAATTTTACTTTCGATCATAAGATCTATGACCCGCATTTTCCATCCGAAAAGTTTGGATATTGCGAAAAGAAAAAACAAATTAATTTTCATGAAGTTCATTGGATGCGAGTTTAAGGCCGAACTGTCAAGGAGGGAAAGATTCCCGAAAAGTGTGAAATAGCTTTCTAATGAATATAAACAAATATCTTTGATATTGAGTTCCAGACCGATCGAATGGTTAACAAAATAGAATCATACACTAGTTGCCATGATTCTGCGGGTGGAATTTCTGAAAATCCCCATTTAACGTGAACCTTTATAGCATAAGATACATACAGTAAAACTTTCAGATTCCTAGCTCTTAAGTTTTGAACTGTGCGTTGATCACCAGTCAGTGAGGAAAAATTATTGTATATATACAGTGATTAACTGTGTCATTTATATAGTCCTTACTTTCGTTCTAGTTGACCCAATGTTGTTAAGGTTCCCAATTTGTGCTTATCAGAGACAAAAGACATAGTCAATTTGAAGTGTATTCGGGGCATATATACTGGTATAACCTTCGGATCGACTGTAAACCCATTTACATAATATAATATTTCCTGAAAATTAACAAGATACTAGCATTAAGGAAAACATATAAAGGAAAAGCATGTAAAAACCTTCTTGAATGGGCAATCCAGGGGAAAATTGGAAACGCGACGCAGTCCAACAGCCACCATCTGGGTCAAGTATTGACTATGAACTATGTGAAGTGCCTCACAGTAGTTCATCTCTTGTGCCGTGTAGTTAATAAATTTGTTACCATGTTCAATTGCCAAAATATATAACCCGTTCACATTAGTCACGTCTTTGGTTAGTTTGAACTGCACATAAAGACCAGAAACGTTATTTGTCGTGTGATTAATAAAACAATGAAAAATCGCGACTGTGTTCGGTTCCTGATTCTCACACAACAATTTGTGGAATACAGCTGCGATCTTCGTCTGTGAAAAGAATGTACATGAAAATATTTTATATTTCTTGATTTTGAATATATGTATATATATTTCCCAAAAATCAAAACATTAAATAACTTACCTTCGCAGACACTGTGAACACGATAGAACAGAGTAGCAAGGCTGTTGGTAAAATATTAGCGTTCATTTTAATCGTTTGCAATGCACTGTTTAATGTTTCAGATATTACTTATTGGCTTACCTCTGTAATAAAATGCTTTAAGGGTGAATATTAATCTATTTTTAATGGACTACTTAACGAAAAATATTAAAACATTATCTTGCGGGTTTTTATCTAAGGTAATTAAAAACTTTATACGACGGATATATAAATTGTGGTATTGCCGGATCGCATACATTTTTGACATTTACTTTTTGCGCGTTGTCCCATTACAAGATAAGCAAATGTTCTTATCGAAATCACAATACAAATCTATCAGAAACATTTCCCTTAGCATTTTTATTTATTTTATTTATTGGATTTGGTTTTGTTTACCACTTTTACCTTAAACCTATTGAAATATAATTTTAATATTATTTTTAAATACAGACATAATCATCATTAATAAGTCCAGTCGAGAATGCAATCTAGATTGCGCAACGTTTAACTTACTTAAATGCTTAAATCGATTGGAACTAATAGCAAAAAATGAAACATGCAGAGACTAAAAAATTAGCAAGATGAACTTTATTCAAGATATTTGTATTTTTTTTATAGTAAAATATTAAATTAAAATATTTGTATTCCTCATATTATTTTTTAATAGACTACTCTGCCAGTGGTCAATATGCGAAATATCTTTCTTTTTTCTATAAAATATTCCGTGATTGTCTGAAAAGTGCCTTCGGGCACATAATTGGGAAAATCCTGTTCGTCAAGATACCAATTAGTAAGCGTATAATTTAGTTTCTGTGAAAAAAGAATAATTTGGATACTTAAAATTCGAAAACGATCTGAAGCAAATCAAATTGTCAAAGCAAACTGAGCCTAAGCCTGAACCAAACACAATTTTAATAAAATTCTTTGGAAAAACATTAATATAACTATATAGGAAATTGTTTCGTTTATATTCCAACTTAGGTTTGAACTAAAACCTGGATGAATGTAAGAAACCGGGTACAAAAGCGAACCGAAAGGCAAGCTTGCTGAACTGTCGGTAATTTAATTTACTAGGTCATTATTACGAATTACTCACCGCCTTAAATGGACACTGGAAGTCCCCAGTCGTATGCTTTTTCAAGCTCTTTGAGAAGGTGCTCATGATCGGGTTTTTATGTACCATTGTTAAAAAGGAGCACGTATCCGTGTGCAAGTTGTACAGGCGCACCTTTTTATTATCGGTTTTCCAGAAGTCCATACACGAGTTGACATCCATTTTACTAATATTACGTTTGAGTATTAAGTTGCCACTGATATAACTGCGATTATTAATTTGAATCATCGAATAGTGCAGCTCCTCAACAAGTTCTGGTGCCGAGTGCTTAACGTTCACTTTATCAAATATGAATCGGAACTTGGATTTCTCTGTGGCAACAACCACACTCACGAGAAGTACCCACAAATACACGAACATGGCTAAAGCGCGGCTCAACATGAAATGAACCATACTCAAAGTGAATAAAACAATTTGGCTCAGTTATTAAAATTATTTAATTGTTTTATCATCGATCAGTATGAGCTAAAGTTGGACTATTTTACCATTGAATTTCATGCTTATAATTTTTTGTTGTTTTGCATATATGTCAATGGGGCTATACAAGACACATTCGGGTACATAGAAAGGAATATCTTTTCCATCTAAAGACCAGTTAGTCAGGGTATAGTCTAAGTTCTGTCAAGAAAGAAAGAATATGAATGTTAATCATGATTTTTGGTGCAATATGGATACATTATAAAAATATTATAGTCATCAACATGAATTACAATATACATAAAAAATGTTAATAATTATAAAGAAATTACAACGAGAATTTAAATGAGTCTAATGACTTTCATCTAACACTCACCGGTTGAAATGGACAACCTATATTCTTGGAACCGTATTTTCGTAAAATATTGAGGAACACATTTAGGAACTTGCTTTTATTCGTGCCTCGGAGAAATTCACAACCATTGATTCGTATATTGAATAGCCTCATAGTTTGATTGTTCATTTTTGTAAGATCCAAAGCCCATTTTAGTTCGAAATGGTTTATAATACGTTTTAACCTCAATTTGGTGCTGAGATAGCTGCGATTATTCAGTTGAGTAACACGAAAGTCGATCTCATCAACCAGCTCCGGTGCCAAGTTCTCTACAATAGGGTTGTCCAGTACCAATTGAAAATTTTGCTTTGCATCGATCATCGCAATGAGCAGTACCCACAGATAACTATTACTGGACATGGTGAATGCTTAGTACTGAATAACCGCTATGGCAATTACTTCAATGTATAAAATCAATATTGCTATATTTTGAACAATTTATATATCAGATCATATTTATATTATCAATCAGATATATTTGTGTTGATAACATAATTGAAGATTTATGTACGCAATACCAAAATTGAATACCCGTGAAGATTTATCAGATTTAAACTATATTATTTCTATTTTTCATTACTTTTTAGTTTGCCATTATGTGAGGAGCTTAGTAGAGCTTGTTATGTGTATATATTTCAAGATATTTTGAAATCAATTATGGACCGAATGTTTCTATGACAACAGTGTGATATAAGTGAAATTTGTTCTGCATTTAGCCCAGATTTCATAGATTTAATTAAAAAACTGGGAAACTGGGAAGGAAAAAGGAGGCTTCTATGTGTTTCATATTTCATGATTGTGATGTTTGTTTATAGTCAAGCTCCTTACTCTTATAGATAACCCTACCACGACTGAGAGCTTGAACAATCAATTTAGAATATGTAATGAATTTAGTGAATATCCTAATATTACACTCTGGCACATAATTGGGAAAGTCTTTCTCCTCCATATACCAGTTAGTAAGCGTATAGTTGAAGTTCTGTAATTGAAGTTTTTGATATACATTATATATTGTTATTTATATATTTTACTCACCGCCTTAAGTGGACATTTTAGGCTTCCCCTTACTTTGTTTAGATAACTTTCGGCAAATTTCCGAAAGATGCGTACCTTATGAAAGGCTGTGAAAAACTGGCAAAAATCCATGCGTACATGAAAAAGACGCATTGTCTGATTGTTGGATTTAAAGATATCAAATTCGGTTGTAAATTCCGCCTGATCGATATTGCGGCGTAGAATCATATTACAATTGAGAAAACTGCGATTTGGCGACTGCGTCAGTTGACAATTGAGATCCTCGAAGAGTTCGGGTGCAAAGTGTTTAATTAAAAACTGATCCAACACAAATTGAAATTTGCGTTGTTCCTTCTTTGCATCCACCAAGAGAAGTAGGCACAAACATAGCCAGAACCAACCGGCCATAGCGAACGATTAACTCAAAATGTTTTCCGAAATTTTGAACAGTTTTTATTTTATCTCTAATAAGCCGATTGGAAAGTTAAGCTACGGCTAATCATTTTGTAGAGTTTTTTTTACGATGCGTATTAAGTGGGGGGAAGAATTTTTAAAATAATTATTAAATAATTTAAATGCTATGTATATTTAAATCTATGGCATATAAGTGAACCAGTCTTTCAGGCAAATGAACAACGATGAAGGGTTTTAGAGTTTCAGGGCATGGTTCAGTGGTATTTAACAAGTGAACTCGATATTTTTATTATGACAATATTCTATGCTAGCATTAAATAATAAAATATAAATAAATAAAATTAAAAATAATAATAAAAATATACCCAACTTTTCTCTTATATAATCGTACGAATTAGTAGGAATAATAATAGCAACATATTACTTAATTAAAATTAAAAATCAATCATTTTTAAAATCAGAAAATAATGAAATATTGTAAAATAGTAGGGTATGGCGTGTGCAATCTTTTACTAAATATTGTCTATATTTTGTAATATAATCAGTAATGCTTACAGGGTATTTTCGTAATTTAGTAGTCGCAATTTGCACACTTCGTAATATATAATAACTATTATACTTATATATACATATTTATTTTCGCTTTCTATCTATTTTTTAATGATTTTAAACACCATGTAATTTATAGCATGTTCGTATATAAATTTATTTATATATATTAAATACAAATCATTTTAAATATGATGCACTGCACCGCTGAATAACAAGCGAGCAGTTAATTTTCGTTGAAATAAAAAATCCCAAGCACCTTGAAATTTCGACACGGGAATATAGCTGGGAAAGTCGTTTTCATCCAAGTACAAATTACTGACCGTGTAATTAAATTGCTTAAAGAAAATAATTATATAAATTTGATTTGATTCGGACGTTTGCTTTACTCACCGGCTGAAGCGGACACTTGATGTTGACAGAAGCGTTCCTTTTCAGGGTCTTAACAAGTATTTTGAATAGATAACTATTATCAGTTTTTTCCAAGAAACTGCACCCCTCAAAACGCACATTTAAGAGGGGTTGCTGTTGTCTATTGGACTTTATCAAATCCACAGTGGCTTTTACCTGACACTGGGAAACACTACGACGCAATAAAAGCTCACCGCTGACAAAGCTGCGATTGTTCGATTGTACAAGGCGGCTGCTTAATACTTCTATGACCTCCGAATCGAAATTTTGTAAAACGAACTTCTCAATATAAAATCTAATGTCTGGTTTTGTATGCACTTGCACAATAAAAAATAACATTATTAGATAAACTGAACCAGTCATTATGAATGCCGAACTTCGAATGTTAATTGGCTTTGATCATCTGTAAAGTATTCCATTATTAAATACTATATAAATGACCGGTCCTAAAAATGTATAAGTGACACAGTCATTTGGGCAACTGCACAAGAAGGTTATGCGTTCAAATCTCAGTCGTCATCCATGCCAGGATCTAAAGAAACCTTAGCTATGCACACGTCGTAAGATTGAGTGCTTGTCATTAAATAATTTCAAAACTAATTAATAATAAAAAACTTTAAACATTTTTATGATATTTTTAAACTTTTGAAAAATATATTTCAAAGCTCTCGATTTTTTTTAATTAACAATCCAATTTCGCCCTTTTAATATACAAATATATATATATATATATATTTTTTTTTTGTAAATTTTGAAATGCTATAACCAGCAAGAGACCTGACGACGATTTACACTTTCAGTCGGTTGTTAACTTCTTATACTGAACCCTACCGCTGAAGCCCAATCGTAGAATTAACTTCTTATATGTATAGAATTTCATCATGGTCCTGAATTGACTCTCGGGCACATAGTTGGGAAAATCGGTTTCCGCCAGATAATAGTTATTAAGTGTATAGTTGAAGTTCTGCAAAAATTGAGTAACACTACTGACAATTTTCAGACAATTTTATGGTTCACTTACAGCTACTACCGGGCATTTTAGGCTTCCATTTAAGCTATTAGTCAGGCGCTTTGCGACTAAACCAAACAGACGATTCTTGTGCGGAGTGGAAAAAAATTGACACACATCCAAATATTCTTGAAAAAACCGTATCGACTGATTGTTGGACTTTAGCATATCCAGGGTTGCCTCCACGTCCAACTGTTCAATGTTGCGCCGCACAATCATATTGCAGTTGAAATAGCGTGATTTCGTCAATTTACAGTTAAACTCTTCAAAGAGATCCTTGCTTAAAGGCTGAATATCCATTTCGTTGAAAATGAAATGGAAATTGCGCTGCTGCCTCATTGCATCGACAATTGAGAGCAATTGCAACGCCGAACAGACACAAAACCAGAACCAACCAGCCATGGCAGAACCTTAACTCAAAATGTTCACCCAAAACTGATTGGTCTAGTATTACCTACAATCTCATATAATGAGCTACATATTATCCCCAAGCTAAACATATTTAACAATTAGATTGTACTGATTATTAAGATAGATATGGACTGGCAAACGGTGTAACATGTTTTTGTTTTTACCCTAGGCGTAGGCTATGAAGCCTAAGGGATGATAATTTTCTTTAACTTCTCCAAGATATCGACTTGAAAAATAATTCTCACGCATTCGCCGAATTTCAAAGAGAAAGGCAAGATAACCATAGACCTCGCCAAGTTAGTAATATAGGTTATACGACTTTTTATAATCCGCACACGTGGCATTATAATAAGAAAATACCCTCAAATATTTCTTAGAAAAACTTTCAATCGAGCATTTTAAACAATTTTTAATTCTTATACTCGACCCTACCCTCCATGACCAGTCGTAAGACCATTTTCTTTTCTGTATAAAATTTTGTTAGAGTCTTGAACTGACATTCGGGCACATATTGGGGAAAATCGGCCTCATCCACATGCATATTGGAGATCGTGTAGTTAAAATGCTGCAAGTAATACAAAAAAATATATATATTAAAATCGAATCCTGTCAGAATAACTGAATAATTAATAATCAACGCGTAGATGCAAATGACCGCTAATACGGGGTTTCTGGATATTCCACCCGCAAGTGTGAAAAAGGTTCGCAATACCGTGAAACTCATTTTGGAAGATCTTTGAGAAATTAAACGGGGAATGTGTTTCACATTTTTCACACAATCAACCACTATTTAGCAGATCTTTTAAGATCTTTTTAAAATTGTTTCAGACGTATTTCACCCTTTTCCGAATATCCAGCAGCCTGTGTGTAAAATGCGTTTCAATATTTTTGTCGACGTGGCCCAGCAAAGCCGAGTAATATTCGCTATACACAATATACACAAATATTTATATTAAAAATTTAAATAAATACTTACCGCTATTAATGGGCATTTAAATAAACCCTTACTGCCTCTGTTGACACTCTTGGCGAATAGATTGAAGATACGATTCTTGTGAATGGTAGTCAGAAACTGACAGGCATCCAAGCGTATGTGGTAAACACGCATACACTGTTTGTTGGGCCTTAGCATGTCTAGGGATGTTTCCATTTCCAACTCAGCAACATTGCGTTTAAGTATCAGAAATGCGCTAATAGTGTTACAATTGCGTAGTTCCCAGTTTATATTTTCCAAATAACCCGCAACGGTCGGCTTGAAGTAGAAGGCGCTGATAACGAAACGAAAATTTCGCTGCTGTGTCCTTACGGCCTTCAATGTGAGGGTTGACAACGCCAAACAGATCAAAAACCAGAGCCAACCAGACATGGCAAGAGATGATTTTCAAGTGTTCCTCTCGTCATAGATTGGACCATTAATACATTACGTATAATGAGTTTTACTGATCTCATTTGATAATGTTCTAATTGAACAAAGCTAGAAATTATTGGCATCAATATTCAATCGGTTGCTACTTAAAATTAGATTAGCATGTTGCAAATTGTGGCATGTGCCAAACAGAGTTAATCTAGTCGATATATCTATCTATTTCCCTGTACCCTTCTTTCCCGAGCCCCATACTATTAAATATATTCGTTCGTAAATTATTTCTGCGCTTATCAGTATAATATTTTTGCAACATAGAGAGGGCATTTATTATACAAAAAACATGTGTACAATATACATATTTTGATGCTGCTTTTCTACAGCTTTAGGATAATGAAAAAACTAACATGACTAATTGTGTGTCTACAGTATTAAAATTAAGTGAAATATACGTAAAGAAAGAGGCCGAGAATCGATATTGATAAATTTTTAAGAAATTGATAGAATAATCGAATAAAGTTAATTCGCTTTAATAAAATTATGTGTGAAATGCAAATATGTACAATAATACTTTAGCTGCTCTTAGATTAAATGCTTATATTATTATCGTACATGTCAGGATTCCTGGTATTTGACTTATTAGACTTTTCATTAACAAACATTAAACTTTAAAGCATGAAAACCAATCCAAGCATACATAAAAAGAATCAAACAAAGTTGACTGATGGTCCTTTGGACGCCTTAGGTTGCCTCCTTATTTAACTATGTGTTGTTTCTGCTTGACATTCAACATTTTACATGGTGACAACCCTAAAAAGAACCAAGCAGCCATTGCGCGGGCCAGACTTTAAATGTTTACTGCGCACTTATTATTCCAAATTTAATTAAAATTGTATATATTACAAATATATATGTATATACAAGTACATTTCGATCATCTTTTTAATTTTTATGGTTTATTCTACCATCTATTAGCAAACTTACGACCGTCTTATCATGTTCTAAAAATTTAATAATAGTCCTGAACTGGCATTCGGGCATATAGTTAGGAAAGTCGGTCTCTTCCAGAGTCCAATTGTTAAGCGTGTAGTTAAAGTGCTGCCAGTGGAATTAGAGAAATACACATAACAAATTAAATTATATAATGAAAATAATTGTGATATAGTATACCTACCGATATAACCGGACATTTTAGACTACCGTGTATTGCATTAGTCAGACTCTTTGCAAACACATTAAACAGGAGATTCTTGTGAAGAGTGTTAAAAAATTGACAACCATCCAAGCGTACATTAAAGAGACGCATTGTCTTATTGTTGGTCTTTAGAATGTCCAGGGTTGCCTCTACGTCCACCTGATCAATATTGCGTCGAATCATCATATTACAGTTGACAAAGCGAAATCGGGATACTTCACAATTAGCTTCTTCGAAAAGATCCTTGACCCCAAGATTGATGGCAAATTCGTTTATAAAAATACGAAAATTGGTTTGCTGCGCCTTCCCATGCACCATCACGAGGGTTGGCAACCCTAAACAGAGCCAAAAACAAAGCCAACTAACCATGGTGAAAGCCCAACTCAAATTGTTCGCTGAACAGTCAAAAAAGATGAGCTCTTCCACAAAATACACGTTGCCTATAGGAATTATATTCTAATTAGGGCAATTTTGATATATTGATTTTAACAATAATTGGACACAATTTAAAATTATACAGTGTTCAAATAAAATAACATTAAAAACTGATCTAATATTGAAAATTAAAGTAGAATCAGGTTGGCCATTAGAATTTTGACTGAGGTCACTTTAAGATAAAATATGTTTTAAGTATACAAAAAAAATTTGAAGCTAAAAACGTTTAATTCCAAATCAAAAAATATTTTCAATGAAAAGTATATCAATTGATTTAAAATGTTAAACAGAATATTGGTTCAAAAATGATTAAGCCTTATTTGTTTACTTTTTATGTTTTGTTTGGTTGGTAGCAAGGCTTAAAAAAATCCAGAAAATCTGACGATTCCTGGTGCCCAGTTAAATGCATATCGGCCACATATTTGGCCCTTTTCCGAATTTGAATTTGAATTGAATCGGACCAATGGGTAGAACGTTCATAAATTGTACGTAGAAGTCGCGGAACAAATATGCATATGTGAGCATGAAATATTCATCAAAGCCATTATCTTAAGCTGATTTGTGAACTAACTGAGATTAAAATGCTTAGAGATATAGCTACGATTGCCTTCCTGCTCGATGCTGTCGCTATTCGAGAGGATCGAAGATAAACCGATCCATCAGCACAGCATGTTCAGCCAATGCGCAGTTGTACACGAAAATCATTAGCAGATTTATGTTGGACACGTTTAGTGCTGCCAAAAAATGTTTTTAATGCCAATTGCTCTATTTTGTGGACATAGATCGTTCCAGCTAATTGGGTTTAAATTGATAACATAATCATTTGTGTAACTATGTCATTATATAGTTTTATGAGATATACCACATAGATCAGCGGCTCTTCTTCTTGCGAATGCCTTTACTTGAGTGGAATATGGGTGAATATTTGCGAGTAAAGTCATGCCGCTTTCCCTACAATTTGGTGGAATGCAATTCACATGCGTATCTTAAATAAGAACCTGCATACCAGATGTGTTCCTAGTTCTTATAAGACGTGATTTTTGCCCCAAAAACCGTGTGTATATTTTGTCTTATTTTCTTTAAGGCTTAACAAACTGTGTTAAAATTTTACGCGAAACTTTGGAGTTGGCAATTTGCTCGCAACGGGAGTTATATGGCCCGAAATATGGACTTGGGCCAAGTGTTTGGTCTTATTTCGAAATTCCAGTTTAAAAAAATAACTGCACTCTGGCAGTAATTCGGGCAGCATGCGCTCATCTATATAGCTGCGTTGTAGGGAATAATTGACGTTCTAAAAGCAACCAAATAGTTCATCTATTAGGAACATATATTTATTTGCAAAGATTTACTTACCGCTTGAAGTGGACAACGTGGTCGAACATTAATAAAGTTGACGTATCTGTTGTAAAACTGTTGCACAAATTTGCTTTTATATTCGTTATTTAAAAAGGAGCACAGATTCATTTTCGTATCGAAGAGGTGCACTCGCGGCAAGTTATGCCGTGAAATATCCATCGAAGCGAGCATCGAAATCTCATTGATGGGCTTAGCCACGATCAAATGCCCGGAGAGATAGCTACGATTTCCGTCCTGCTCAATGCTGGCGCTCTGCGAGAGAATTAATTCTCGATCCCCGACCTCAAAATTAAACTGATCCACTCGCACAAGATATTCAGCCAGTGCACTGCTGAACACAAAGATGATCAAGAGGCAGCACCAGATCCGCAGCAGATCCATTTTGTCCATGCTTAATAGTTCTAGTGCTGGTAAAATTGGTTTTCTGACACAAATTTTTTTACTGCACGCCATTAGACCGTGCCAGCTAATTGTTTTTTAATTGATGTACGATAATAATTAATGTAACCAAATTTATATACTAGTAGAGACGCATTTCCACATTTTAAGCGAATTCACTTCCTTGAGCGAAATATAAGTGATTATTGGGTAAACTTGTTTAAAACGGTGAGTGGATATTTACTCCATAAGAATAATTTTCACTCATTTGTATAGTAAGACTTGACAACTTTTGTACTTTTTTTTTAAACATTCTAATTTCCATACAACAATCACTTGAACCACTGTGCGGGCCTTTGAAGCGACTTAAAACATGCGCGGTAAATGAAAATGCCGCGTATATGAAAGATTGAGTTGAGAAGGCGGCTAAGTACATATGAAAAGTGTAAAAAAAATAAATGAACACCCTCTAAAAAAAAAGGAGAAAAACAGAATGAAAAAAACTGAACGCAAAGGATGTCAACAGAAATGTTAATAACACCAGCGTCAGCAATGTTTTTGTTCTTGTTGTTGTTGTTGTTGTTGTTGTTGTTGTCGCTTTATGTACGGTCTCTATTTTACGCCAAGTGGTGCAGTGCGTCCTCTAGCACGTAACCCGTAACCCGTAACCCGCAACACCAGGCACCTAAGGATAAGTCCCGGCCGTGCTTTATGGCTGAGCCAAGTGAAGCAAAAAACACTTTCCCGTAAAACAGAAAAGCAAAGCAACAGAAACAGCATCAGCATCAGCAAACTAAAGCAAAGTAAAGCCGAGTTGAGTGTAGTTCAAACATCACACCTAGCATAGACGACAGACTACAGGGTAGAGTCCAGGGTCTGGCATCTGAAGAGCTGCGGGCAACTGCGACTGGAACAGCTACCGCGGTTCGTATTATGTAAACATTTGCCGGGTTCTTTTTTTGTTGTGTCTGAAAAATGGGACTGAATTGGTTGTGATATGAGATATGTAGCTGGAAAGAAAGATAGCCAGACGCAGTGGCAAAAGGACTTTCAATTGCGATTGTCAAGCGTATTTCCATGACAAGTGAAATACTAACTAAAAATATAAATGAAGAAGGAAAAGAGCTGTAAAGATTTAATATCTTTGCAGACTAATAAAAGCTGTACAATAGAAAAATCGCATCTTCTCAATTTAATACCCTGTAAGCCATGTCAAGTGGCTGCAAAAAAGGATATATACGGCAAACATTTTTAAACGAAGTTTCGAATGATCTTTTTAAATATATTTTGAGAAAAGGGCTGAAAAATCTTATTAAAAAATTAAAATTATTTATTTGATTAGCCTTATTTACTGCTAGAAATTCGGTTATTGTGTCGAAAGAATGTTTATTTAAAAGTTAATAATAAATATTTTTGGGTTTTTTGAACGGGCAAAGTTTCTAATTAAAAATTCTGTGGCAAACCGAATATCTGTTTATTAAGATTCACGACTAGCGGAAAATCTAATTTCATAGCGTGAAAACCATAAAACAAATAAAAGCAGATGCCATAACTAATCCAACGATTCAGTCACTCAGAGCATTGGCCAGGGGGGTGGGGGGCTACGAACACGTTAAAGCAGCGCAGTGTAAACAAATATTTTGACAAATTTATGATGATGGAATTTTAAGTGATTTTTAACGAGCGAGGGTGGGATAAAAGGCATGAAGATATACACGATATATCCCATATACTATATATAAAAATATATATATATACATATAGTTACATATCCAGCTGTAGAGTTGAGTATCATTTTCCACAACATCTGCAATTGCTGTTGCTTGCCGTCTAATAAAAGCCAAATTGCTTGCTTAAATAAACAGGAGGCTGCACAGTGGAACTTGTCCAGAGGACAAGGATTCAAGATTTAAGTCGAATTTTATATAACAAGCGTAGTTTATGTAATTATTTCTATTAGTGTAACCGGCATTTCAAGGATGTCGGAAATAGCTTGTTATAACTTTCGTTATAAACCAGGATATATTTACTTTCATGAAAATATTTGCCAAATTTGCCAACGTTGGCCCAAGAACAAGGCAGATATGATGTTTGTGCGCAGACTTTTTATACACTTGCACCACTGTGCGCTGGCAACAAAGGGTTGCAGGCAGGTGCAACTGCTGCTGTGGACATGGAGGGGGGCGGCAGGGCTAAAAGGTAGCCACAGCGCCCGTTCCAAAGGGCGCCAAACATTTATGAATTTGCGTTGACTGCACTCACACAGACCGACACGCACACGTACACAGTCGCCAAAGTTAACAAAAGGCCCATTAAGCCCGCTGCTGCCAAATTGCTGTGTCTGCAGCGTCGCCTTATCGCCCCCCCACCACCACCATGCACCACCCGGCCCCACAAAGAGCCAACGCCAAGCACCACCTGTGCGTCCAACTGTGAAATTTATTGATTCGAGCAAATAGGCTCCATCGAGAACGTCGACTAACTAGCTATAATTAGAGAGCTCTCAGTCGCTATATACCATTGCACAAAATCGACTAAAATCGGGATTGCTCGGCTAGTGCATACCCTATCGTCACAGAGATGACGTCTGAATGTAGATAAGAAAGAGCTACTCGCCAGATAATAGATGGTATCGAATAAAATTGCTCATATATATTTTTTTTAAATAATTTCTGTGCATAATTTGGGTTTGTTATGAAATTTCTTAGTCAAAAAAAGCTATTTCTTTGACACATTATTTTTAATGCAGATTTTGGTCCCAATAAAAGGCGAGATATAAAATATAACATTTAAACTTGGGCTGTGTATTGTTATTGCACAATTACAATCCGAATATCTCTGAAGTTCTTGTTTATTAAGAATATATTTCATTAAATTCTTCTCGAAATCTCTTTGAAAATTATCTCAAATTGATTTTCGTACAAATATATCTCTCAGTTTTGTAGCTAACTTGATTTATAGCCTCTTTTTGCTGCTTGCCGTATATACTATTTTTGTCAGAGCTTGCCGGCTTGTGCCATCATGGAATATGTACATATAAATAAATAGGTGTAGGTGTTTTTTCTAAATCCCAACTACCCAGACGCCCACAACAAAGGTGGCTTCTTGCATGCGCGTGATTGACATGCACATTTTCAATGAATTATTAATTACGTAATGCGAAACCAATCGTCTGTAATTTGCATATGCAATGAGCGACCCACGCGACGCAAATGTTAAGGCTAATTATCAGCCCACATTCGACAACATATAGTCCACTTATCCGCTTGCGCTTCTTGGGTTCAAACCGGCGTCCGACCATTAATGCAAATTGTTTAGGTTTGCATTACAAATTTTCTTGGACGGTGGGGAGAGTTCCGGATGTATGTGATTTTCCAAAAGGTGGAAATAAAGAAAATGGGCAGCTGAATTATTGATAGTAGGTAACTTTAATGACATAAGGCCACACCAAAATTTTACCTCAAGTGTGGAATATTTTGGAAAATGGTAAATTAAAATTGTTTTTCACGGATTATTTTTTAAACGACTGGCAATTATTTCGAAATATTCTTGTTAAATATTGTAGGAGACGATATTCGGTCCAAAAGGCAAAAGTATAATTTCGATTCCAAATTAATTTTCAAAGATTAGTCAGAAATTGGTTGCTATAACTATATTTAAACAAATTTAAAGTTTTTTTTTTTAATTAATATTCTTTAGTGTACTTAATATATTAAAGTCCACATCAATAAATATTTTTATGGCGAGTCTTTTCGTCTTTTAGCCACTAAAAATGTACTGCCAAATTTCTTGTGGCAACCTTTGGTTTATTACTTTGGCTGATGCTTGCCTTTTGGTCCGCCAAATGTTTTGGGTTAACAGCAGGAGGCAACTGGCAGCAGCTACGCCCTAGCTACCCCGCCCATTACCCTCACCCAATCTGCCTCTACCTAACACTTACTCACAAGGTCTTGAGACATGGCTCCATGGTGACTTGAAAATAAAAGATTTTATTTTCTTTTGGTTTTTTCTTTTTTTTTTGCTGGCTACAAAACGCAGCCAAAACTTGCTGCAACAGCAATAAAAAAATAAAAATGTTTTATATATAAAGGGGAAATAAAAAGAGCGACGCCCAAGGCAAAAAGCAATAACAAAATATTATTATCAGAATCATTCATCATGTGGCTGCAGGCCATAAATTTTTCGGCTAGCTGCGAAATGCAACAACAACTAAAATAACAACGGCAGCTAACTGTTAATAAATCGCAGCTGCAGATAGCAGCGAGCAGCATGCTTCAGCGCCACAGACAGCCACGTTTAGGCCCCTTCCGAACTACCGAATTTCCCGAGCCCCTACACCCATGCCCAATCCCATGCCCAATCCCAACCCATTACAATTCCCTTTCCCATTTTCATTCCCCTTCCGCACGGCCGCCGCTCAACTTCCTACAAAAGTACGCTTTACTGAGTAGTAACTTTTCCAGGGGCGTGGCACAAGCCCTAGCACCGCCCCAAAGTATACCCAGTTAAGTGCCAAGCATTTCTTCGACTGATTTTATCTAGGCCTGGGCCCACAATTTAAGAATCGATCGATCTTTAATTTTAGACCTAAGCCTTAAGCAGTAAGTAACGAGCCGGATTTAGCAAGTTCTTAACTTTATTTCCTGAACATTTAAGCCAGTTTGTAGCTGAACAAAACTCAACAATAACAATTTTGCTTAATAACTGTTGATATCAATATAGAAATATAAGCGCAGGTAGTAATCCAATTTGTTTAAAAACCATTCCCAAAACGTAAAAGGCTGGGTGGGTCCATAAAAAGAATGACCAAAGATTCCAAACATCAGGGCAAAGAAACTGAGACACATAAGAAACATTCCTATGACACGGCATGGATTTTGTCTAATGATGGGCTGTGACATTTTTGTGGATCTGCATATAGAGGAAACTTCCGGATCCCTTCTAAGTTGCTGGCGTAAATAGAAAAGATCGTTATATATGATCTTGTTGCTCTGCAGCATAATCCATAGCAATTCCCATCGTGTGGGAATTTGGGTCAAATCGCATTCGAAGCGACGTCCTTTTAGCGGTTCCGCAGTGTAGGTCACAAACTGGATTAGCGGCTGTTGGAACTCCACGTGGATCCGTTGAAGCGGCATCACTTTCATTATCTTTATATCGATAAGGTTGTCGATACATTCCCGCAGCTCTTGATGTAGCTCAGAGTCAACTTCAGGCATAACCAATTGATCAACTGGATTTTCTGGGAGCTGTTTGACAAAGTATACCCATTAAAAAGAGAACCATCTTTAAGATCTTAAAATTTCAACTCAGTCGAAATACTGTCTTCTACATTCCCAATGGTTTTTACTTCTTATTCCCCCATTATTTATAATTACCTGATGGAAAGTTTGCTTTAAACCATTTGAGTCCTTTTTTAGCGCCGTCTTCGACTTAAATTGCTTCTTTAAGTCGTAAACCCTTGCCAGCTTCCTGCCACGCTTAGCAGCTTGTATTTTGTAGACAAGGGGTCTTAACTGCCGCTTCTTTTGCTTTGCGGACTTGACGTTCTTTAACTTGAAATTCTGGTTCATTCGCAAATTCTCTTTCATATTTCCCAATAATTTAATACTGCGCCGCTTGCGCTCTTGAAGTATCAGTGTTATGGAGGACTTCCTGGCCGGAAGACTTGGTTTTAGTTTCGGATGCAGCAACCGCTCGACTCCCGAGTTCGCCGTAATAAATTTTATCTAAGAACAGCTGTCATTTCGAGTTTACCTTGGATATAACTTTGCGTATTTACCTTTCCCATTGCGTATCTTTAATAGAATTTTAAAATATATATGAAAATTATAATTACTGATATATGCTTCAGTATGCTACATGCTTTTCTCACTGAACAAATGTTGAGAGTCTGTATCTTAAAATTAATTAAGACAAATTTTGCTTAGGTAATGTGTTTTACGATATCTACCTAAAAGGTTTGCTTACATATTGATTTAAATATATACATATATAAAAGGGCAATTCTATGGACGTGATGGTCGTATGTTCTCAATATGAAGAAAACCTAAGACTTATTCTGGGATATAACCACACAGTCCTATATCTAGCGTAAAAAATGTCAGCTGTTGATTTAATCTTTCTACGAGACTAAAATTGAGACAGTTATTATAAAAAAAAATCCTCAAAAAAACTAAATTCAAATTGTCAAAAAAAAATAATTAAAATAGGAATAATGGCAATTCTTATACTAATATTTAAAGTTTGCAATCAATTTGCCAAGTGTTGAAGCTAGTTCAGTTTCGAAATATGTATAGTATCTTTAATTAACATATGAAAGCTTACATACAGTATATCAAATAACTTGCATTGATTAATTATCTTTAGTTTTTTGTATTTTATATTTATTTTAATTTTTTTTTTTGTTCAAGTCCATGCATTCATCATATCTGTCAAATGAAAAATCCCACTTGAAGTTGAGTATATTTCGCATTTCCTTTTCATATTACTCTCTCCCTCGGCCCACCTCTATATCATTATGCATCATTCATCTTCATCCGTTCACATTGTCATTTGCTTTACTCTATTTGTATCTCTATCTCTGTCACTCTCGTTTTTTTTCTCTTTATCTTTTCTCATTGCTTGTTTAATAAATAATTGTCCATCGTTTAATGCGTTTAGTACATAAATATGCACAACTTACGACCATATTGCATGGGCGCTTACCATACCATACCCCTTACTCTCCAACTTCCCCCTTTGACTCAAGCACGAAACATACACATCGGATGTACTTGCGTACACTGAGAGCAAAAAGCTGAAATTGTTCACATAAATCAAGTGCAATCCTCGTCTAAACTTAAACCTATCTTAAATCTGGAAATTTCTGAAACATAATTCCTAAAATAATGCCAATATGAATCCAGAATTAAAATTAAAAAAAAAAATTATAATACGAATCATGTGAAAAGCCAGGAAACGAAGTTAAGGATGAGCCTTGAACCTCGAACCTTCAACATGATATTTATCTTGTCAGAACTTAGCACTGCATTTCTCTGAGTGTGCGCATATGTATTTGCCTGCCAGGTGACCACATGCTGTTCTCAGTGCACCCCGCCCTGCCCTGCTCGGGCCACGTGTCCGTCCGTCTCTAACGGCGCATTTGCAACCGCATTGCCAAGCTGCGGCTCTAGCTAGCTGCCTGCTGCCTGCTGCTCTGCCTGGTTGACCACATCATCAAATGCGAAATGCAAAAGCGACGTAATTGCCACCGCCCCGCCCCGCCCCGCACCAGATCGCACAGCACCACAGTGGAGTGGAGCCGAAACCAATAAACCTGCATACGTCGATTAGTTGCACATGAATGCAATAACATGGCCCCAAAAGGTGGTTACATATTGGACAGCGGCAGGGGCAGGGGGCAGGTGTGGAGCGGTTCAGGGCAATGCACAGACAGCCGCAGACGAGCCCATTTAAGCCACGTCTTAAGAAGCTTTTGTCTAGGCCATTTTTAGCTAGGCATTCGCATTCGTTGTGGTTCGCTTTGGCTTCAATTAAATTGGCTGACAGTTAGCTTATATCGAAAACTATTTAACAAATGTACAAATATTTCACTATTTATTTCAAATATCAGAAGCCCATATTCGAATTTGATTCAACTTTAACTCTATCAATGCAAGAGACTGGCTAATAGTTAATTTATCAGAAAAAAACGATTTAAAATAAGGGAAAATAGGAAAAAGGAAATGAAAACTTAAGATTTATATTCTTTTTTAAATTGCCGATAAGTAAATTCTAAATTAGAGTTCTGCGTCAAACAAATTATTATTATTGTTACGTTACGCTAAGTTTATGAACTCCCTTCGATTTGTTGTCGGACTTTTGTACAAAAACCTGTTATTTTTTTCTTTTTAGCAATAACGATAAACGATTTTATTGATACCATTTATATTCATATATTCAAATTAATTTTGTTTTTATTGTTAATTAACTATCTGATTTGAAGATAATGCCAAACTAATATCTCTGAATGTTATTGATTACACTATAAAAACTATTGATAATATGTTTTAAAAGCTCTATTTATAGAGCTAACATTTAAATGATTTTGAATCAAGAAGATGATTCAAAGTATAATCTGTCTGTATGTGGATAATATAATATATAATAATATATATGTATATGTATAATGGAAATAATGAAAATACAAATTATTTTAATAATATTTGTAACAGAATATAAATGGTAATATCAACAGTAACAACTATTATTAATTATCGTATACATTTAAAAAATAATAAAAGCAAATAAATACCAAAAGATAAAAATATAACTAAAAGCAATAATAATGGAAATAATAAAAAAATATTCATAATAGTAAAAATTTGTAAAATAAAAAAAAAGCAAATAGAAATATTAATCATTATAATGATAATTAAAACATAAAAAATGTACAAAAAAAATATAAAAAATGTGTCGAAATCAAAATTAAATTATTGTATCACCAGATTAAATAAATAATAATAATAAAAATGAAAGTACAAAAATTCTTAAAATATTATAATTTAAAAAAAAAAAAAACTACGATATGTATTTCTAATTTGTCTGTTTACAATGCAATTCTGCCCATGGTACATCACTTGCCTAAGGGCTTGATCTGAGCTTAGTGTACAGTGTGCAGGCAATTGGCCAAATAGCCAAAACGACATATCCATATCCATATGTATGTATGTATGTATGTATGTACATACAATATGTTTCGCATGTGTGTGCCTGTGCATGTCGCCTGGCCACCTGACGCCGCTTGGCTGACCGCTAGCTGTGGATCTGCGACGGTTTTCTGAGTCACAGACCGCAACGGAACGTCGCCTGGCAACAGATTTCAAATATTTGCGTAACCCAAGCGGCGCTTGAACCTCTCGTTAGACACAATCCACTCCCCTCGCCACTCCGCGTAAGCGTCACCAAATGTTTGGCTCATTTGCCAGTTTGTCGTAGATGTTGAAGCCGCCTTCACCGCATTCCACGGACCGGCGGCCATGAATTTTGCATTTTCTGTGTGTACGCAAGTATTTTTAGCTGTGTTTGGCCAGGCCTGTGATTCATCAAAAAGAGCAGCGACAGCTGACAGGGCCCCGACGGAGCTAACAGAAACCGCAACGCATGGAAATGAGATTAACAAAACTAGAAAACACAAAAGACGAGACAATGGCAATAGAACAGCAAACCCAGCGAGCGCCCCCGGCAAGCCGCGCTTCTATGCGTCAGGGGAAACACCTGAGGCGGTCGGCGAATTGCCGATGCTCATTAACTTTAAACCGAAGCAGTTGACAAAGAATACACACGAGAATGGAAGGTGGGAGGCGAACAAAACAAACCGAAGTTTAAATGCGCTGCCTGAAATTTAAGTTCTCTTTATTTTAAGCAGAAATATACACGCATACATATGCACACATACATATACTTACTTACATATGTATGTATTTTGCACTCAATGAACTCTCTCGCTCTTTTCCACAATTGAAATTTGCGCAGTTTTCAGTTTGATCCCGTTACCCAGAAAAAGAGCTTACGTGCTATAATGCAGGCAGCTGCTGACGCTACGTATGTAAATGCAACGCACACGTAAATAGAGAGAGAGAGTGCGGAAAAGAGAGGGCAAACAGTATTTGCTGTACTTTTCGGGCAAACATGCACATCTATCAATACATGTATGTACATATACTTTTGCATGTGTGTGCTTTAGTGCCATTAAAAACACGGTGTTCTATAGCCAAACATCGTTTTAATATGTGTTCAAATTAATTGCAAATTTGCGTGCGTGTTCAAAGCATAATACAAAAAAAAAAGAAAAAAGTTTATTTTGACAAGGCAAACTTCAAATACTCTTAATAAAAGCAATGAAATAATAAAAATAATAAAATAAAATACGAAATATAACGCAAAGGCATAATTAAATGCACATTAGATTTTAACTAACATCTTATATGTCTTACAATTTATTATTTATGTCTATCATATATTTTTAAAGGGTGTACACAAAAATATAACACATTCGTTTCTAGTTCGAATTGATTTGCGGAATCAAAAAGCAACCTTCAATTTTATGCACATACACACGTCGTTATGTTCTATACACCTCGAACTTTGTATACGCTTTCTCAAGGCTCTGCTCGTATGGTACAGTCCAAATATGATTCATATGGGAAATTATATTAAAAAAAACTTGTTAACACCTTATCTTTAAAAACAAATAAATCTATAACCAGATTTCGGTAATTACCTTATAAACAGAAAATGTCATAAATGTGATTTCAATGGGTATAAAACAATTGTTGTAATATCGTGTTGCTCGACTGTAAAAAACAGTTGTTCCCTTAAATTCATATTAAACAAAACAACAGACAGTGTGACAATTAAATTTAACAATAACTCTTTATGAAGTTGTAAAAGAACAGATGTTTTTTTTATTGCTTTCAACTCTAGCACACAACATTGTAAATGCATTCATTATGGAAAAATACCCCTTAAAAAGCTTTACTTCCCATGTACATATGTGTGAGCGAGACAGTAATAGTCGTCGTATTACTTTGAATAGATGTCAGCAAAATGGCATACAAAATACACAGAAATGATGTTAAACAGCTGTTTGCTATGTATGTATGTTTGTACATATACATATGTATGTATGTACAATTCATGTCAACAAAATAGAAAGTACATAATTTAAATATATTTCGGTAATTTGTAGATTATTTTCGGCATTTTGCTAGACCTTGTTTTTCACTACCAAAAAATTTCGACAGCAACATTTGCGAAAAATGTTCAATTATTCGCTTACTTTGGGACTCTACATTATATGTATGTACGTAAATACATATGTACATATGTATGTTCATAGTACTTTTTGTGATACAATCCCATTTAATTGCTCTAATAAAAAAGTTGGCTTAGCAACAGACGCTCAATGCGACGTATGGGCAAAATTGTCGGCAGATCGCTTAATTCAGCACGTCATGCGGAACAAATACAAACAAGTATGTATGACATACATTGTATGTACATACATAATTTAACTATACATGCATACATACATACAGAAGTATCAATGTATTTTGGCTCTTTGCCGTTGCGCGCGCCTTGCCAAAATTATGACAAAATTATGAGACCCTTTCTAAGAAAGAACATAACAACAAAAGCCAAAGCAATAGCAATACATACTATGTACATATGTATCAATGTATATACATACATATTAGTTTGTACATATGTATCTTTGTGTGATATAAGGCCGAACGTCAAGCCTGACACAGTCACGCCCACAACACCGACCCCTCCGTACACATTGTCGCATTTTCGTTTGAAGATGACGCGCAGCGGTCGTTGTGCTGCCAGACGTTCTGGCTCGCCCGAGCGGTCTGCTTGCGGGCGGTGGAGGTGGAGGAGAAGCGGGGGACGCGCGCGAAGCGATAACAATTAAGGTGCGGGGCGACATTGAACAAGGCAGCGACAAAGCAACGACGCAGGAGCCGAGAGAAGAGAGAATTTGAATCGCAGCTGGGTGATAACGTCGTCATCGTTGCCAGAGTTACGCAGGCCAATTTTAATTTATGCACAGCACACGTACACACACACACATATATATTCGCAAACAAACACAACTCTTTCGCTTGCCTGCTCGCTCTTTCATTTCACATCAACAGCTTTTTTATTCGCTTTTCGCTTTTCGTTTTGCACATTTCGACCATGTTGTTTTTGTTATTTATTTGCACGCTCACTTATGTAAACTATTCTCTCAATTTTTGCTCTCAATGCCTCGTTACAGCAGCAGCAACGACAACGACAACGACGACAGAGCGTCTGGGAGCGTGGTGGGCGATCTGCACTTTGGCTACGTTACGCTCAGCATTAGTAAGCTTTCGACAGTTGACAACGCGAGACGCTTAGAGCGCACGGTAGTTAATAACCGACGGCAACCCGTCGCTGCTGTCGGCGCAGTCGACGTAAACGCGAGAAAAATAATAAAACGCATCGAAACAAAAGAAGCAAAAATGCAACGCACCAACATCGAGTTAGAGCGTCAACGTCATCTAGCCAATTGGCTGGTGAAGAGCAGTCCGCACATGGCAGCTGCTGCAGCAGCGGGCGCAGCGCCACCCACGGCAGGAGTTGGAAGTGGAGCCGCAGTGGTGGGCGCAGCTGTAGTCGGAGGTGTGGCAGCTGCAGTGCATGGCGCGCCCGGCAACAGCGCTGCTGCCGCTTGTAACGGTAAGTGAAGCAACAGGGGAGGTTTTTTTTCGGTGTGGGCATTCAAAAGATTTACACGCACACAGGCGTGCACATAACGCTGTGTGTGTATGTATGCGCATACGATTGGAACGAATGCAAGGCAAGGCACGCGCTACCAACAAAAGTGCAAGAGAGATGTACATACGTGAGAGAGAGAGAGTGAGCGCGTGAATGAGAGCAATCGCAAGAGAGTTTACGTTTCGTAGATTTGTTTGATTACGCCTTGCTGCTCACTGTTGTTGCTTTAGCTGCTGCTTGCATTTGTAGTCGTCTGCCCCCTTTCGTTACTGCTTGAATTGCGCGCGCGTCGGTCGCTTCGCGTAATTTCACAAAACGTGACGACAACGCAGCGCGCGCTGCGTCCAACGCCTCTCGCCCACTCGCCTGACGAGCACTTGGCACAGTTGTTGCTGAAGTTGTTGTTTTTTGTTGCTGTTGTTGCAATTGATATTTCACAAACGATAAGTACAATTGCAAAACGTTTAGTATTTTTTATGCTTCTGCTTCTTCCTCTTTCACTGTTATATTGTACAATAATTTCGCTGTGATTTTACGTTGCCTGCACTATACAATCAGCTGCATGTGTGTGTGAGTATGTGATTTGTATGTATTTATTAAGAATACAAAAAAAATTAAGCTAAATGTGCGCAATTAAAGTGAGTAATAGCTCCACCGACCTATAAAGCAACAGCAACAACTGCGAATCGCCATCAGACAATGGACTGCAATCGAACAAAAAGCAATCAAAATCAAGATATTTAACTTTTATTGAGTTGCAGGTTTTTTTGGATAATGAAATCATACATATGTATGTTTGTATGAATATGTATGAATGTGTACACTAAATTAAAAAATTTAAGTGATTAGATAGATAATTGCTGTCGCTTTTGGATAATAAACTACACGTAAATTGACTATTCTAGTTAAGTACAAATTCCTATAATATACAAAAAAAAAAAAGTATCACCTGATAAGGTGTCTCCCGGCTTTGGCCTGGTCATAGTATTCATCCCCCCTTTTTACCCACAGGATGCATTTTTCACAATCATTTAAGCACTTCTTAAATTTAACATAAATCTTTAAAAAAGGATTTAAAGCTAAACAGAAGAAGATCGAAAACGTGTTCGCTAACATTCTGTTATTTTGGTCATAGGTGGGGAAATAATTAAAAAGGTGAAAATCGAAAATATTTTCCATCCAGAAGTGGAAGTTTTCCATAACTGTCAATTTAATCTAGGCACCTTTTTTGCACTCTCAATTTTTTGGGTGAATGCTCCACTCAAAAAATCGAAATCAAAAAACTAATATGCAATATTTTTGCTATTAAGAAATGTATTAGCATATTACGTACGTCGCTCACGCGTATCAGGTTTTGTAGAAAGTTCATTCACATCATGACAGCTTTGAATGGAGTCTCTTTTGTTTATAAATGCTATGCCATTTGCAATAAAAATTCAAATATGACGAATTTAAATTATGCCTTGAATTAGGTAGCCAAAACGGCAGAAAAGGTCGTTAAATTTGCAGTAAAATTGCATTGCTTACACATATTTTCACATCCTGGCGAATATTCAGGACAAGCTTGTGATAAAATAAGATTGTTGAAATAGTTGAATAATTTTTGCAGATTTTTTTGATTATAAATAGCTTGCTTTATTTAGTAAATATGAATTTGAGCTACGCTTTGATGTTCTTTTCTTACTTACACAGATTTTTATTAGATAAGTATATTATTGAAAAACAATACATTACATTAATTAAAAAAAGTCATTTTACGAATAACAATCATCAAAGCATAAGTAGATATTATAAGAACTCAAATTAAAACTAGAATTATTCCAGACTTTTTATTTATTTAAATAAATCCTCATCTGTCTCAACTGTCCGAATTCGTTTGACGTTGTCGCCGTACTGTCAATTGGTTTAAAAGAGAATACTTGTTAAATACTATTGCGAATAGCTCAAAATAGCCAAACACAGGCACAATGAGATTTAGCTTGACATTCAATTAACACATGTCAAAATTTTGCTGGCATATAGCAATCCCTTTGACCACTGTGCAAACGCTTGGGCTAAAAACTTTTCAGCGCTTGGCAACAGTTTGAAATTTCAACTGTTTCGCGTTTACCGTGCATTTGCAGTGTGTGTCTGTGTATGTGTGTGTGAGTGTGAGTGTAAGTTTGTTGTGTGGGATTTTCCCCAATGCAGAGCGACGACAATAAGATATATACATATGTACACCATGCATACATACATATATATATATAGACTATTAGCTCACTATTGCACTCGCTGTGTGGTTGCCTACCTGTGCTTAATACCCTTGCCGAGGGTATTCTAAATTAGTTACAAAATGTGTAATCGACAATGAGGCGCATATAAAAAATGTACATACACATTTATATTATCGGTCCGCACGAACATTGCACCTGTCTGTCAATTTCCATGCACTCTGCGTTTCTTAGTTCGTAGATCGGACTACTATTTTATATTTCTGTTGTGGTCTCAATAAACGAACTTTCTATGCTAGAAATCTTATTAATATATGTATTACACAATATCTGCCTATCGAAAAGTCATACACATTTAAGTATTGAGTGCTAAAGGTCTGCGAGGGTATTTAATCTCTGGCAACTTAGAGAAAATAGTTCTTTTCTGTTTATTTTATATAATTTTTGTTGTTGTTTTGATTGCAGGTGCCCCACCTGGCGCACATCACGGCCACATGGCAGTAGCCGCTGCTGCTGCCGCTGCCGCAGCTGAGGCGCGCAAACCGAAGCTGCGTCGCTTCAACTCCCACGATACCAGCTCGAACATGTTCTCCGTGGCGGACTTCGAGAATGCGCGTCTGGCGCGACGCAATGAGATTGAGCTGAAGCAGCGGCTGGCGCGACGGCAGCGCAACAGCGCCAACTGTAGCTACGGGCTGGCTGGCGGCTGCGCCAGCAGCAACGGCAACAACAACAACACCAACAACGCTGGCTACACAGGCAGCAATAATGCGGGCTACAGCGGCTTCTGCGGCGGCCTCAATGGCAGCGGCGATTACTCTACGGGCGACAGCAAGAACTCCAAGTGCAGCAGCAGCAGCGAGGTGAGCAGAGCATTCAAATGGACCCAAAGCTTTTTGATTAAATAAATGTATTTTTAGCAGGAACCACTGCCCGCTGATGTTTTCCTCGAGCGGCATTCGCTGCCGCGCGTTGTGCGCATTTTGTACAGCAGCAAGAGCTCCAATGAGACGCTGCAGTCGAGCTCATCACACGGCTCCTCCACGGCCGCCTCGAGCAGCTCCTCGACAGGCCCCAAGCAGCAGCAGCTGCTGGCGAATGAGCCAGGCAATGGCACCGGCACTGGCACCAATTCGTCCTCTAGCGCTGGCAGCGGCAACCACAACAACAGCAGCTGCGTTCAGCCTGGTCATGATGAGCTCTTCCTGCTCTACAGGCTAGTTCGACAGCGTCACATCTATCATGGACACAATGCCAAATCGCAGGCATCGCAGCGCAAAAAAACGGTGCTCATACCCCAGGAGTTTCCAGGTGAGTCAGGGGCAGAACGATAGGAGCGGGCACTCTCAGAGATCTTCCATGCTTCGGGAGTGACTCAAGGAGTTCATTTCGTGTGCTACGTTCATGACTAGATTATATAGTAGTGATGATTCATGCGCTGATTCAGACAGTGTGACAAATTTATGGAACTAAATGTATTCAATAGAGTAGAGAACTGAGCAGCAGGGAAAGTGTTGGAATTTTTACTGTCAAAACCAGTCAGAAATATCTTCAGAGTTAAAATATGCAAACATATGCATTTAGTAGATAAAATAAAAAAATTATTGTCAAGACTATATATATACATATTTATATATTGCCATATAGAAAGATATTGGATGAGTCAAACGACAATTTGATATAACCGTTTCGTGTACCAAAATTGGCTGTAAAATTTGGCAGCCTTTATAAGCCAAATATAAAATAATTTTTCCAAAATATTTCACACAGATACAAACTTAACAAATTTTTGAAATTTATTTATTATTAATTCTTGAAAAAAAAAAAAATTTAAATCAATTTATTTCAGTTTTTCTTTCTTTAAATAAATTAATTTTTTACTACCTTGTCTGAAAAATGTGTATAAACTGTTTAGTAAACTAATTACGTAGTTTTTTTAAAAGTATTTACGTAATTTAAATGCTTAACTTGTTGCATTCTCATGACTAATGCATGACATGGCTGCAAACAGTTGGCTAATTTTGGTATTTACTGAGCTATTCAGGCATTATAGTGGGCCACAATAGAAGCAATAACTAGAGATACGACTCGAATTTAAGTTGCGTTACGTTTCGCTTTAGCTAATATGCGTGACAGACTGACAGTCTGACAGTCGGACGGACAGCGTGACATACTCTGCCGGGAGTTGCAGTAGAATCAAATCACAACAATTGCTCATCGGGGTATTATGTAAGCAGCGACTGCGACTGCCACTGCGACCCATTGTTTCATTGCTTCATGTGACTTTTCACAGCCAGCGAAAAACCGACGCCAATGCAAAAAGTAAAATCGTAATCTTCCAATTGCGTAATACTCTACTCCCCAGTGTAATAACATCTGGAAGAGCAACTGCTTAGCTAATCGGTTAGTGACACCAAAATTTTAAATCTGTACTATCCCTTTCAAACTGAAGAATATAAACATTAATTTAATAATATTGAAATATTTCCTTAGACATATGTATATCATCGCGATTATTAAAAAATCTATAAGTACTTTCATATATACAACTGCAAACAATTTAAAATGATCGATAACTGCATCTGTGTCCCCAAAATCTATAAAAAATTTATTAGATAGTTGAGAGTGTACACAGATCCAGAATATTTCTAGCCCTCTTAAAATTGTATGAGACTTTACGAATCATGCTCTTAATTTGTGATATATTTACATATTTGATAGCAATCTCTATGCTCTGATTATTTTAAAACGATCGAACAATAAATATAAAGTTTATTTAAGAATAAATTTCACATGCTGTGGATCTAACGCATGTGGCATTTAGAAGAAGCACTGGGTACTCCCTAGTCGATCACCTTGTTGAGTCAAATATTATGCAAGTGCTTGACTTTGCAACTAGAGTTAATGTTTTCCCTACTTTCCAGGGTATTTTTCGCTGCTGAACGAGAAGGGTTTGCCAACGGCCACACAGTATGGAACGCTAATGCAGCTGGTTCGCGAGCGTGTCTACAAGTTTGCCTCGGTGGATAACATGCCGGCGTTTACCGAATCATCGCCCACCGGAGCCAACAGTAGTCCCAGCCACGAGGGCTGCCTGCCCAGCAGCAAACAGAGGCCGCAGTACATAAAGACGACGGCACGCGGCGGTCAGGTGTTTCGCCTGCTGGCCGTCTTCGAGGATGGCAAGCAGGAGCATGGCCAGGCGAATCACACGAACAGTGCGTGCAAGTCGCATGTGGTGGCAAGTGGAGGCTATATGGGGCGCGACAAGGAGAAAGGACGCTATGCGCAGCTATTGAACGAGCAGCGTCAAGTCATGTACGTGCCGCTGGCGACCAAAGGCAAATTCTACGAGATTGAGCCGGGTATACCGCAGCTGCTGCAGAAACAGGGCGACACGCAACGCAAACTGAATCCGGAGTGTGTGCATCGATTGGGCGCCTTGGTGGCAGCGGCCAAACAGCTACCGCTAATGCTGCGCTACATCTCAGGTCCCGCCGGCGCCGAAATACCCGAGCAGCTGTGCATCAGTCGGTTGAGCAAGGAGGATGTCATAATTGGCTGTCCCATTGAGGAGCTGGATGGTAACGGGCCGCTGCCGCCGGTGCAGCAGCAACAGCAGCCGCTGCAGCTGCGTAAGCTTTATCTCAGCCGCGAGATGCAGCTGCTCAAGTGTTTGCTGGGCTTTGATTCTGAACAGCGAATGCTGGCCAATGCCCAGGTGCAGACCATGCTTAAGTTTTGTCAATTTAATTGCGATCAGTTTCTCAAACTTGTGGAGATTGAGCTCTTGCAGCGCAGCGATCGATCAGGCAGCAAAACGCGCGAAGGACTCAAAATTCTGAAGCCGCTGCATCTGCCCAAGCTGCTGCGGCGCGAGAAGAGCAGCATGACGGCAACGTCAACGGCGGCGCACGAGAAGGAGGACTCGATCATATTTCTAAGTAAGACCGATTTGGAGCAGCTGGAGGCCAAAGAGGCTGCAGCAGCGGCAGTGGCAGCGGCATCACTAGCAACAGGCGAAGCCTCCAACCAGGTCGCACCCAATCGCATCACGGAGCGCATGAAGGTCTTTCAGTCCACCAAGAAGAAATGGTTTCGCAAGCAGCAGCAACAGCAGGAGCAGCAACTGGATAAATCCCAAACTGAACTGCAGCTGGATGTGCAGGCGAAGCGCATGAGCATGGAACGCTACACGGACATGTCCAAGCTGCTACAGGAGCGCTTCGGCAATGACAACAATGAGCCCGCAGCGGCTACCACGGATACCCAATCGCTGCACAGCGAAACGGAGACGACCACGCTGAGTCACAGCATGGAGCGCAGTTCCATGCCCAAATCGCTGGACACATTGCTGCAAAAGTCCATGTCCCTGCAGGACATTGAGCTTCTGAATGGACAGCGACCACAGCAGCGACCAGATTTGCTCACTGCGCATACGGATGCCATCAGCGAAGCCGGCACCGAGCTGGAGGATGTTGAGAACCAAACGCCGCCGCCGCAGTCCTTCATCACCGAGAAGCTCTACAATGAGTTCCATGTGAAAACACGCCAGTATAGCAAATCCTCGAGTAGTTTGCATCAGTTGCGTCACTTTTCGCTGCCGCAAAAGATGCAGCTCCACGAAACTGAGCCCGAGAAACGCATCCAGACGCAGTTCAGAGCGCAACAGCAGCTCCAGCTAGGCAAGGAGTTTGGCGGGCCTATCACAGGACGACGCGCTGCTGGCGGCGTCTCTTTGCTGGGCGGCCTGGTCGCCCTGTCTCCGTCAGCTCTTCTCTCACCCACATCGCTGGTGGAGGATGATTTGCCGTACTCCAGCGTGCGTGACTCCCTAGTCATGTCTAGTTTGGACAGCGCCGAGCACCGGGAACCGGCACCAATTACGCCTGCCGCCTTGGACTACGCCAAGGAGAATATCTATGCGGAAATTTGCGCCTCGCACACCTGTGACAGCTTCTCGGGCGCCACGCAGCTCACCCAGCTGCCCCAACTCGACAATGACGATGTCGTTGTAGATGATGAGGACGAAGATGATGGTGACTACGCCTCGCTCAAATATCAGCCGAACGGACCGCAATCTGTGAGCCGGGTCGAGATTAATTGCACGCCGGCCACCAGTGCCATCAGCTATCATACGGTCTACCTCGGCGAGGAGCCGCTCGGAGAGCGGCATGCGGCGGCTGCTCAGCATATAACCACCGTAGAGCTGGCCGGCGAGAATAACATATACAATACGCTCAAATGATGATTCATGTGATTTCGGCGACGACGCTTAGCCGGCGCCCAGGGGCTATTCTGAATGTGAAAGGACAATGCGAATTCTAGAATATATTAAAACACATATATATTTTATTTAAAATATCTCGTAAACCGAACAAAACTGTTGAAACAGACAGATGAGAAACAATATTTATATGTATAGAAAAATCTCTGTAGAGCAGACAACATGAAAAAGACCCATAGAAAATAGATGTAAAATCGTGAAATAAGTAACCAAAAGAAAAGAAAATTATTTATAGAAAACAAACTTAAAGCACCATTTGGTATTCCTTTCAAAAATACCAAAAACAAATATGGAAGAAGTGTGTATAACAAAAAATTGGAAAGATTATTTTTCGTGAGGTAAAACTTAAAATTGTACACCATTTTTTTCTTTATATTAATCTTTTATTTAAAAAAAAAATGATCTTAGTTAATTATCTAATGCAGAAATTGAATGCACTGCAAAAGTTGTAACTAACTGTTTCGATTGTCAGAATTTCTTTAAACAATTTAAAGAAAAGTTAAAAACATTTCTGCATACTTTGAAATAGTTTAAAAACTAATAGAGGATTTCCATATATTTTCAAATGCTATATCAGCTATTATTTATACATCTATGTATATATATTTTGGTACTTATTTCATTACTTAGTTTCTTATGGGTTTTATATATCATGTAGCGCCTATATATAATTCGATAGACTGTAGTTGTAGCAATTGAAGGAGAGAAACTTATAAATTGAAGAAGTTTGTTTGGGCAAAGCATAAAATGCCTCAACTCTGCTAAAAAGCTACATCGCCCCGCCCCACAACAAACATTAAGAGAAATGAGAATAACAAATGACAACTCACATTGTAATACTATATTATAAAGAATTGAAGACAAGCAATTTGTATTGTAAAAAGGCTTAAAAGCCCGCGATACACACGCATAAAATGTCATAAAACTGAATATTGAAAATTTGCAATATTATACAATTGTATACATAACTAACATATATCATATATACTATATATACAACATATTTAATATAATATATATACATATATATATATATTTATATATATAATTAGATGTTAGCTATATGAAATGTAGAAATCTTAGCGCAAACCTAAGGTATTATTAGTTTGTAGGCAATCAACAAGTCAAATCAAATCGTATGCGATATGCATACGTATTTATATATATATTTATATATATATAAAAACAAATTAAGTATATAAGTATATATATATGAGTATATACTAATATATAATAATATAATAATAATGTAACATAGCTTGCAATTTTAGGACTTATCACAATTTTGGTCCACTTTTAAACGATCTCTCATATTTGTCGTTCTGTTTAATATATATATATATATATAGATATATCTCCTTTTTTTTGGATTTTGAATTGCTTAGCATCAAAACGCAGGCGGAATGGCATGATCTAAACCTTATCTACTTAACAATTTTAATAATTGTAATTATAATTTGTCTGTTTGTCCGTTTATGTCTTATTTCCTTCTTCATGTTTTTTATCGCAAGTTTCTTCCACTCACTCTTTCAGTCAGCACATGGAGCCATATTATTAACTAGTTGAGCAGTCTCAAATGTAAAACATTCTAGTCCTCAGTTATATATGGATTGGTTCTATATTTATACACTATAACATATCGATCAGTTGTTTGAGAACATGCCAAACTGTATGCGCTTTCGGCCAGGCCGTAATTAATGCAAATTGATTTTCAATTCTCGCGTTCTTTAAATAATTACATAGCAAAGAATTTATTAATTTTTATTTCGATTTCAATTTCGATGGCTATCGATTAATTTCAGTTTTGATTTACTATTTAAGATTTTGTCAACACACTTAATACAAACAAATCTTATGATCTACAAATGCAATTTTAATTTGTTTTTATTTTTCTTATTTTGAACATATATTAGTATATATTTTTTCGAAATCTTATGTATATGTTATCATTTTATATTTTCAGTTTTTTTTTTATATAAATAATATCTGGTTTTCTATTTTGCACGGACAACTGCAGCTACAATCAAGTGAAAGCATTGTACTCTTAGATATATTCTAATAAATAGATTAACAAATGGAAAACCCTGTAAAAACTAAAGCAATACTCACAAAAAAGCTATGATACTAGTTGTAATACCTATTGGATGATGATCAGCTAAATGCAAATTGGATGCGTTTTGAAAAAAAAAGAGAGAGAGAGAGAAATAGAAAGTTCTATAAGAATACAGATATAAATATAGTATATAAATAATGTAATATGTGTGTGTAATCAGAGTACTTTGTACTTTGTGTAGCGTTTACCTTTGCATTTGGTAGTTTTTGTTTCTTGTTTTTTTCTTTTGTAGACATTAAGTCAGGCTTCACTGTAGCGCAAGGGTGATACGATGTGTAAAGAGTTGATAGAACATATTAAATTTGTATCTATATAAGCAACTACCCGCCAGCATATATAAATATATATTATATATAAATTGGTGTGATAAATCAATGTCTAACAAACAGATAATGTAACGTAGTTAAGCAAACGCAGTTTTGAATTTGCTTTTAGAGCACAATATACATATATAGATACATATATATATATGTATTATTAATAGAGACATCTAATAACAAGAAAAAGATGAAAAAGTTGATGAAACAAATTTTGCTTTAATGTGAAAAATACAATACATATTAAACGTCATCAAAGATTATAAAGTTTAAGAATTTTTCAAAAAAAAAAAACAAAAAGAATTATAATACCCTCTACAAGGGTATAAAAGTGAAGTCATAAACAGCAGCTAAGTAAAGCAATTTTCAGGGATTTTTAATGGAAAGGCACAAGAAATTTGTAAGGATAGTTTTGGTATATACGAAAACTAGCGCCCTAAATGCCGCCCGTAGGCCTTTTGAAGCAGTTAAGATAATTATGAACAGAGTTGAGATGAAGTCGAGATCTAGCGCATTATGCAGAAGCAATACTACAATTTTTCTATAAGTATAAACAACATCTATAAGAAGATTTATAATCAAACACATACACACACATACAACTAAGTACTCTTGTTTTATTCGGTGTCTATGTTAATCACTAGAAATGACAATTAAACAATTTAGAATTCAACAAGTCAAATATTAGTAGAACTTTAAATTAAAAGTCAAGCCCAAGAAAATACACAAATATTATATACATAAAAACAAATTATATATATATGTATATATAGGTATATATATGTAAAATGTACGTATATTTACATATATGTATATATAGACGTATATATATACACAGTTCAAGATATATTTGTATATCTTTAAATGCTGAGCACTTCTTGAATTCGGTTTGAACCCATAATTCAGGTATTCACAATGTGTACACTTTTGAACTGATGAAGCGATGTCTGACTACGATCATGATGCTAAGGATAATGATCTAATGGATGGATTATGATGTCACGTCCTGAGCCGTGGCAAGACTGAATTGAACTGAACATAAGAGAGAAAAAAATCAACCAAAATGCAAATTAATTGAATTGTTTAATAATGGTAACACACAAAATATTCTGACATTGATTGTAGTAGCTCTTTTTATAAGTAACGAATATGCATATATATATGCATATATGTGTATATATATGAAGATCAAGTCGAAATGTCCCCTTTTTTAGCAGCTTGACTGAGCCCGTTTCAACTCTAAAACCGATGCCTCCAATCTACTCTAGCATTCAAAATTTTTATCCCACGTTATACCTATAGTTATTGAAAATGAAAACTCAACCTTTGGCAAGACTAAATATCAACAAACACAAATGTAAAACTTTAATATGATAATAAAATTGGATTACTTTTGCTCTTTTATTGGGTCGGGTTTTTTCATAAGGTACGCTCCGGGAAAGTGAGTTGTGATGACAAAAGCAACCCGTTAAATTTAAAAATCCCAAATGGTGTAAGTAGGATATTATCACTTAATCGCCCATAATTGGACAGGACTATCGGGATATCCTTTTACGAACAGACTATGCTCGTCCTCCAATTCAGAATAAAAAGAAAAGGAAGCAAGTCCTCCAAAGAGCCGAGATGTAAGCACATTATTTTGGTAGATGGGAGATGCTGAAGCTCAAACGTATCCTGACGAATCCTGTATCAAAAAATATGGGTAAGAAGTATCTAATATTTTACTACATTTAATTATAAGATAAAGGCAATGGGCTATATTACATTTTTTATTTCAACTGATTCTATATACCACAACTTTTTAATTATTAGAGATTTATTTACTTGAATTTATTAGAAAATATATCCCTTCATAATTAACATACATTATATTATTTTTTTCTCATTACATATTATTATATTCACTCAGCAATTAACAAATTTCGAGTGTGCAGAATTGTCATATTGACTACTGGGGTCAAACTCACAGAGGGTTGATGAATTGTGAGTACCTTGAGCGGACGAAAAAACCGGCGCACAGAAATTAAGTAAGCGATCAAAATTCGAGTGAGAGCAAAGTGTCGCATTGACCAGCATATACACCCACACAAACAACTGTATGCGCGGAGAAGCGAGGGAGATAATAATCAAAGCAGACACCTGTTTGTGTGTTCGTTCACTTGTGCGTTATCTACTTATGCTCATGCACTCATGACTTTTTTTTTGTCCTGATCGCTCATTGGTCCCATTAATTTTTGCTTGTGTAGAAATGCTCTCCTAATCGTTTGGCTGCTCTACTTTCTGAGCGCCAGTTTTTCGGTCCGCTTTCGGTCCGCTGCACAACTTTATTTTGCGTTAGTTTGGCCCCATTAATCAACAAGGCAAGACAGGCTGTTGTGCTGTGAGTTTAAACCTTTTACAAAATTATATGTTGTGACTTTGCCGGGTAATTTTCAAATGAAATACCTTTTTTTCCGGTCATTTTAAAGACTGTAAATTTTCCAAAGAGAAAAATAATATAAATAAATAATTAAAAAAAAAAGCGGTTATATACACCCCGACCTATTCAAGAGCTATACCATTTCATGATCGGTATTTAGGGTATAGTCATTTGAAATTGTCAAAAAATATAACCCTGCATATTTAACATACATTATATTCGCGTGCAACCAGCAGTTAAAAAATTGCGGCTGTGCACAGATCTCAGCATGCAATAATGTGCAATTGACTACTGGGGTGAAAGAAACTCAAAACTAAAGAAAGACCACCAAAATCGGCGCACAGAAAATAAAGCAAGTCATTTGTAGAGCAGCAAAAATGCATGCGAAAGCGATGCATATGCAGATAAAGCACTAGGCAGGCATATACACATACATATGTACATATGCTTGTGCGTTATCTACCTTTGAATGGTGCTCAGTCGAGTTAACTGTAAGTTGCTCAATTTACTGTACGCCGATTTTTGTCCACTTTGCGTCTGCGCAACTAAATTCTGTTTTAGTTAAACGACAGCAGTCAAGTTAAGCTGTGTGAAAAATATAAGAAGTGAAAATTTTCGGGTAAATATCGTATGGTATATGTTTTCTGAGTCGTACGGATCGAGAGTATCAATTGACATTATTATGACGAAAACGGCATTTGTTACATCAAAGTCACAAAATCTGGGTCGGTACGGAAATCAAAATGTAAAGTGTTATGTGGACTCTACAACCGTGAATTTCCAGAATCACACTTTATTTGCAATGTAGAGAACCAATTAAAATAATTATAATAAAGCTCGTGAGTAGAAAATGTACAAGCATACATATGCATACACACATCGATTTGTTCATGTTATTCCCTCGCTATTCCCGCGCATGCACTTATCTTTTTATCATTCGCTTGGTTTTTTGTTCGCTTTGTGGCCTTCATAACGAAATTGTGGTAAGTTTAAACCTAGTTGTCAATTGCAGATTCTACAATTTGACCGAAATTATCTAAAATGGCAAGGAGTTATGTTTAATTGTTTTCAAAATTGATGCGGGTCCGATATCGAAATTTTTGGATTATATTGGACACTGTTGACTTTCAAAGTGCATGTATTTCCAATAGCGGACCCATCAGCTATAGCCATTCCTTCCATTTTTGTACGGACAAGGAATGTTCATTGGTATTAAGAAATTCCAATTGGTAAATTTGATCAAAATAGAATTGCATACAAAACTCAATTAATACATTTCGGCTGTTCAGAATCGCAGCTTCTGCTAACGAGAAATTGACTACTTACACTTGCATACATAGTATGTACATATGTACATACATACATATATCAAACTGGCTCGGGATGGAGTTGCGCAGGCACAAAGCGCTCAAAAAATGGGCGCACATAAAATGGAGCTCGTCATGATTAGAGAGCATCAAAGAGCATCAAATTTCGTGCGTGCCCAGTGCAGACGTAGATAATGCAATAGCATACAATATTCCCTTTGTTTTATCTACATGCTCTGCATGGCGCTCACGAATTTTGGTGATGCTTACCGCTTATTGGCCGCATCAAGATTTAACTGTACATGAGCTTAGCTTGGTATCGTTTGCTCACTCGATTTTCTGCGTGCTGGCTTTTGTCGTCCACTACACGCACTCACCGCCTTTAATTGTGTGTAAATGATATAATGTTACAAGATTGGGTCTCATTTTCGTGAGTTAAAGACATTTTAATACATTTTTTTTGTAATATTAAATATTTATAATCCGTGTCTGACCTTAATATGCTATAATATTATGGCTGGTACGGACCTTATTGCCTTATTGGCATTCCTAAATTCCTAATTAAAATTTGACCAAAATAGAAGGGGGCAGCTATGCGCATTTGGCATGCATCATAGTTTTTAACAAATAGAAACCAACAATTTGCAAAATCTGGGCTCAAATTAACGGCAAACAAAGTTACGCGGGCGCACACAAAACAGATCGTCTGGCCTATGCTTGTGCATGTTTGTGTTTGTGTGTGTGTACTTGTACGTACCTATTTATGCATGTGTGAATGCTAGACAAAACTTATCTGCGCGAGCGGCAAAAAAACGGCACACAGAAATGAGAACAATTCTTGTTGCTGCTCACAAAAAATCGGGAGAGCGCATCGCATATGTAGGTAATGCACAAGCACACATCTACACACAATTTGTACATTTTTGACGATTCGCTCTGCATGTTGTGTATTTATGCATGTGTGTGATTGCCTGTTCGTTATCTAGCTTTGAATTGCGCTCAGACGAATTTATGGCTTGCTTGCTCAATTCGCACTCCGTTAGTTTTTCGTCCACTTTGGTTGCCCACAAAATTTGTCTGCTTTAGTGAAACGCCAGCAGTCGAGCAAAACTGTTTAAAATTATTGTTGGTGTAAATTGTCGGGTAAATACGGTTCATCTATGTAAAGGTATATATAATCGTGCTCGTACGGATCGGGAGTATCTATAGTTTGGCAAACATGAATACAAATTTTACAGTTCTGGCGATTTAAAATAATTTCACAAATCCTAAAAGGGCAATCTTTCCTAAATCTGTTTTTATTAAATCAATATGAAGCCGTTAAAAAAAAATCTTTATAAATTTTGTCATTTTGTAAATAATTTGTGAGCGCGACGCATGAGAAATTACAATCAGCCATATATACACATACATTCATATGTATATACATACATATTTGGCAATTATCTTTGCATACATATAAATGGGTGTGTGTTTTCTTGAGAGTTATCTTATGCTTGGTGTGGTTGCTTATGCGTAATCTAGCTTTGAGTCGCGCTCACACGAATTTTTGTTGTTGCTTATTGTTTCAATGAAGGATTTATCTTGTGATCATCTGTCTTTGATCACCCACCTTTGAATGGCACCCACTCAAGTTTATGGTTTACTTGCTCAAGTCTGCGTCCGCGCAACATAAATCTGTCTTATTTAACAGTCGTCTGAAGCTGTTAAAAATATTGTGAGTGAAAATTGTCGGGTAAATACCGTCCGTATCTCTAATGGTATACGTTTTCAGACTTGTACGGATCGGGAGTATCGAATGTCAATATTTGATGAAAATGCATTCTGAAGCATTCTAAACCAAAATGGCAATGATCACATAAATCTAGTTTCCAAATCCAAGTCTGTTCTGAAAACCGAATTTGTAGACTTGTAACGAGTATTAAAAGGTATATCCTTCAGTTGGACGTAATTTAACCGATATAAAACTACTCAAAATACTGATATATTTTTCATTTTGAATTTTTCAGCCCATGATCAAATAGTAATCAGTATCGTTGGTACCTAGATGGCCTCTATATCCATGGATCAACAGTTAACAAAATGTGATTCTAAATGTTGACCAAAACAGGAAGTGATTTGGTCCTGAAATTAATATTTTGATTGTTCTTTCAATTAAAAGGGATTTAACGAATCCCAAATATTATGTCTATCGAAAATCGTAGGTAATATAACGGATATATTTGAGTTAACAAAAACTAATTTTTTGTGTTTTTCAGCCAACTTTGCCACTACCAGGGCAACAAAATATTCAATATCGTTGGTATCTAGATGACCTAAATATTCTAGCTTATTCCAAACGTTGGATAGACTCTTAAAATCTCATTCTAAAGTTGTTGACAAATCTGGATCGGGTTTCAAATCATTTCTACCGATGTTAAAGACTTTCACGTATTCTAAAAGGAATATCTTTCCAAAATCTGATATACGTAATTGTACTTATTTTATTTTGTATGTTTCAGCCACATCTGCCACGCCCATGGACAACCCATAATCAACAAATAATTGCTGTCGTTGGTACCTAAATGACCTATATATCCTTGGTTATTCCATACCAAGGATATAGTCCTAGAGAACCTAAAGGAACTATTTCTTGCAAAATACGCAAGAGCATGGTCCAAAAATATGTATGCCTTTTTTTTGCAGCAGCCCCCATCTACAGCCCCGCCCCTGGATGGTTCCTAGTTGATTATCATATCCTTGGTTATACCATGCCATCGATATAGTCCTTGGCAACCTAAAGGATCAGATCCCTGCAAAATTTGCATTGAAATGGTCCAAAAACATGTATGCTTTTTGTTTCAGTAGCCCTTTTACATTACCTGCATCTGGACCTGTTGCTTAACAGCCGCCTTACAGCACTCATTTTCCATTAACTGATACTTAACAGTACTCGTTTTAATTGAGTTACATTTCTGTCGACCTTCTGGGCATTTATGTTCGCCTGGTACTTGAGCGGAATTTAGGGCAAATTTGGACCGGCGGTGAGGGTGCGCCTTTTTACTACGTCATTTTTCGGACGCAAAAATATTATTTGTCGACCTTCTTGGGCATTTCTGTTCGCCTGGTATTTCAGCTGATTTTTAGAGAAGTTTCGGCAGCCGGCGGCCGCCAACGACCGTTGATTTTTAAATTTTTTGCAGTCCTATATCCTTTGCAATTAATAAAAACACTAAATTTGTTTAATATTTTTAAATAAATTATTTATTTTGTTAAAATTAACAAATTTGTTGTTTTTACATGTATTTGCGATTTTAGCTTAAAATGGCTATATCTGGCTTAATATAAGTCTGATCCTGGAAGGAATATTCTTGATGGATTCGTAGAAGTCCTTAGAACCGATAAGAGTCCTTGAATCCTTCAATCTGAAAAGATAAAAACACATTTGAATAAAAAAGTCAAAAATTGAATATAGGGGTATTTTGGGGAAAGAAATAGCCATAGCTCGGCCATATCCTTGCAGATTTTCAAAGGACATGGTGCGTTAGGATCGTAGGGACCAACTGCATCGAACTGCATTAAAATATTATGGGGTCATCTAAGAATCCTGGACTTGGTAATTTTTCAATCGCGGGCCGCAAGGAAAATTGACTGAAATCACACAATTACAGTAAAAATCGCGATATCTCTGAAACTACAAGGACGATCTTGATGTCCTTTGGCCAGATGGTAGTCCTATTCATTACAATTTTTTGGACACAGGACTCGTCAGGATACGCCAGGATATGTCCGAGTTATACGCTAATTTCGGTTTGCGAATTTGCCCTTAACACTTTTTTGTCTGAAGGACTTTCGTCCTTTGGGTTGCATATTCGTAAATGGGAGGATGAACACTATCTACTGTCCAAAGGACATCCCGATAGTCCTTCAAATGGCGAAGTTAGTCCCGAATTTTTCGATTTTTGGCAATTTTCTGACTAAACCCCTGTGAAAAATTTTAGTGAAATTTTTTGTCGAATACTGGAAATTCTTGAATGCCAATCGATAGTCCTGCTCCCCACGAGTTCAAAAATGTATATCCTTCCGATATCCTTCAGGATTTGCCCGAGATATGGCCATAAAAAGAATGTCCTTTTTAGAAAAGTGGCCATATATCGGAAATCACAAGGACGATTTTGATGTCCTTTGGACAGTTTGTAGTCCTAGTCAATACACGTTGTTTGACACAGGACTTGTCAGAAATCCGTAAGGATATGGGTGAAATATAGCCATTTTTATGTACAAAACAAATGTTCTTATATCTTGGCTGTTTAAAGGACCTTCGTCCTTTTCAATATATTTTTTGAATGGGCAAGACAAGGACAGTTCGATGGGCAAAGGACATGCCGGAAGTCCTTAAAATGCCTCTGTTATGGCTAGTTTTGTAAAAGTATCCTTTATAGAAAAATAGCCATAGCTCGGCCATATCCTTGCAGATTTCCAAAGGAAATAGTGCGTTAGGATCGTGGGGACGAACTGCATCAAAATATTAAGGAGTCATCTAAGGATCATGGACTAAGTAAAATTTGTCGCAATGCGTTAGGAAATAGACTGAAACCCAAATCCTTGGTATCTTGAAAAGTACTTGGACACTTCGGATGTCCTTTAACCAGTTGGTAGTCTTAGTCAATATAATTTGATTGGGACGGGAATCGTCAGAATACCCAAGGGTATGACCGACTATAAGCTTATTTATGTGTACAAAAAGGTAATTTTTTCTAAGCTGGTTTGATTACTTCCGTCTTTCTTATTGAACATTTTTAAATTGGGAGGATGATATCAGCTGTACAAAGAACATCGGCCTTGTAGTTGCCGAGATATGTTATGTTTCTTAACAGGACATTCTATTTATAGTTATAGCTCGGACATATCCTTAAGAATATCCGAAGGCTAAAGGGCATCAAGACCGTTCGGACAGAAAACAACAAGTCCAGGATTCTTAGATGACCCGCTAATATTTTGATGCAGGTGGATGCGCTTGGTCCTTACGATCCTAACAGTACAAATCCTTTGAAAAACTGCAAGGATATGGCCGAGTTATAAGCAGTAAAAAATTATAACTTCTTTTGGCCTTCCGAAAAAAAACATTGCATACCCGAAAGGGGCACGTTTGGCAGGGCAATTACAATTTTAATTTTTGATTGCTTATTACTAGGTCATATCCTTGCAGATTTTCAAAGGACATAGTGCGTTAGGATCGTAGGGTTCAAGCGCATCGACCTGCATCAAAATATTAGGGGGTCATCTAAGAATCCAGGACTTGTCTTTTTTGAGTCGCGGAAATTTTTTTGGAGAAATCCTGGAAGTCCTTGAATGGAAATCGATAGTCCTGGTCCTCACGAGTTAGAAAAAGTATATTATTCGGATATCCTTAAGCAATTGGCAGAGTTATGGCCACAAATCAAATATCTTTTATAGAAAAGTAGGCATATCTAGAAAAGTACAAGAACTATCGAGATGTCCTTTGGCCAAATATAGTCCTTATTCATAAGAGATATATTTGTTCATTGTGAAAAAAACACGGACGAAAAATATGTCCTTTGGCCACCTGCTAGTCTATTCAATATGAGTCTTTTGACACAGGACAGTTTGGCATCTGCAAGAATGTGACCGAGTTATAAATCTATCCCTCTATCTTGGTTTGACAAAACATGATACTTAGATGTGAAATATTTACCAGCAAGCACCAGCAATCTGGATGGTGTGGCAGCGCAGAGTCGTCGGTGCAGTCATTGGAAGACGTGCAACAATTCCGCTCAGATCGAGCAGTTTTTCCAAATTCGCCTAAAATAAATGGATAGTACAGTATGAACTGAAAGATCTTAAATTTATGCTCTTACCTTTTATCACGGCGGGCAGGCTGATGATGCGCAGTTTGAGTTAAATTCAAAGATATCTGCCCTTCTTGCCAGACGCAGTAAAAACGTTGTGCATCCACTTGGTTTCCGTAACGCACAGCCAGTTGCTTTATCCACACAGCTGCTTGAGCTATAAAGACACGCGGCATATTTAAATTGGCACAGATATTCCAAACTCGCCTGAAATAATTGAATAATGTAATATTAATTGAAAGAGATTCAACTTATGCTCCTGCCTTTAATCGAGCAGCCTGATGTTGCTCTGTTCCAGATAAATTCAAAAATTCAGACACAGAAAATAAACTTTGTGCACTTAGGATCCGTAATGTCCAGACATTTTCTATATCCACGCAGTTGCTGAAACTACTAAGACATCCGGCACATTCCAATTAGCAGAGATATCCCAAGATCGCCTGAAATGGATTGAATAATGAAATATGAACGGTAAGACCTTAAACTTATGATCTTACCTTGTATCACAGTGGCTGATGTTGCCTGGTGCATACCAGACGTAGAAAATAAAAAAAATTTGGTGCATTCACGTAGGTGCCGTGGTGGAAAATAATGTGTGAAAATAATTTATATATACAGTATATAAAGTATATCATACAGGGAAATCCAAGCAATGGGCATGAAAAGTACTATTTGATCGCCAGCCAAACGTAAACATTATTAAAGGGAATCGAGCAATTCTTTTTCTCAGCGGCGGAAACTAAAATAAAAACAAATAACCATATTTGCGATATGCTAATTAATATGCCTGATCCGAACGAGTCCGAGAAGGTATACCATTCGAAAATTGGACGGCATTCACCCAAGAAATTAAACTTTTATATTTTTAATATGCTTTCAACGAATATAACTCACAGCGTAGCAACGCGTCACATTAACTATTCCAGTCAAACTAACATAAAATGAGAAACGACTGTGCAAAACGGACGAAATAACGGCAAACAGAAACTAGAGAAAGCAAATGATCACAAGATAAATTGCCTCTCGGAGCACAAGCAAATACACACAGTCATAAATATGTAACAGAAGATAACCCAAACACACGTGCATGTGTATGCAATTATGTGCATATATATGTATGTATGTCTATATGCGAGTTATGGCTACTTTTCTAAAAAGAACGTGATCACTAAATCGACTGTAACTTGGCTATTTAAATGACTATCGGGATTTACTTCGGCGAGCTGACTGAGCTTGTCCTGCCAATTTAGAATATACAAAGAATACGACGAAAGTCCTCCTGTGATTTCCTGCATTTTGTTGTCCGCCAAGTTAATAAATTATTTTTATTAGTTCCAATTTTCCAATCGCATATTTAGTCAGCAAGACGATATTTCCAAGCATTATTTTGTCCAATCAGACAAAGCACACAAGAAACTTTAAATAAACACTAGTTAGTGAGTTATTAAGTCCGCAATTTCGTCACTCAAAATCTTCATAAATTAATTTGCACATTCTAACACTCCTTTAATTTCATGGTATTCAAATAAACTGCACATAAAAAATGACGCTTACAGAATATATATATAATTCGATGTAGTTGCCTGATGTTGGCCAAGTAATTTCAGCGATTTTTAAATTTCTATTTAAACAACATGCCAAGAAAATCAGTATTTTTTTGTTATGGCTGATTTCGACAAGTAAAATGTATTAATTTTCACATGTTAAAATGATTATACTAAAATACCAAATTAATAGTTCCTTTACATGGATCGCATATGTTATTTCTGTTATATATACTTTTGCAGTTTTATCGATTAGCCTTTACTTAACATAACCACCCTGTACAATCGGCACGAACTATCGTAAACGCATGTGTGTTTTTAGTTTCCTTTCATTTTGTTGTTGTGAATGTTTCATATAAAGAAAAGATGTTACGACATTGTAGCCGAATCGGAATTGAATATTTTCAATTAAATTTTAATAAATGTTCGGTCCGTCACATGGCTGGTCATTCAAAGTGGGCAAACATAAAACATACAAAAGCCCAGAAAGACGGATTGCGAGCAGCCCTATTCACAAAGATTTCAAGACAACTTCGATTGGCTGTGCAGGAAGGTAAATCTGCGGACCCTGCTGTGAACTCGCTCCTACGATCAGAAATAGATAATGCGCTGAAGAAGAATATGCCTATCGGAACAATACAAAATACAATAAAGAAATGCCAGCATAACAAAGCACAATTGAAAAAACATCGACTCGACATAAGATTCAAAAGAAATGTTTATATGATTTGTACCATATATAGTGACAATATAGCTGGCGTTAAAATGGATGCAACCGCAATGATAAAAAAGGCTGGGTGGGTTAATAGTATAATTCATAAAAGATTAAAAGTTTAATTAAAAACTACACTTAAGTTAAACAACTTTTCCAGTGGTTCATTTGTGGATGTGAGCCATATGTTTCAAGATTTCGGCCTTATCGAAACTCGTTACAATTCAGAGTTAGACAAAAATCAGCCCAGCTTAGAGGAAAAAGTTACTGAAGATGCCATTCAGTTTGGTGCCGAAGAAGTAGAAATTGTTGATGCAAAAAATGCTGCAGTAAATGTAAGTTAAATTTGGGTACTAATATATATAAAATCGTATTTAATTTAGACTGCATTCTCAGTTTTTCTGCAGTCCTGTTCTATTGAGTGGCCTAAGCAGGACATTGGAGCAAAATGGATACAGCATTGAAAATAGCGAACATGTATTTACACCAAACGTAAGAAACTGGATTTGTTTAAAAAAGAGTATGATTCAAATATTGTCACAATTTTTTAGAACCTTGTGGTGCTAGCTGCAGATGAACAGAAAGCATATGATGCATTTGTCCAAAAATTACGGCTTGTTCCCGGCCTGGAAGACATTTATGACAACGTGGAGTAAAGTCATAGTATATATATATATATATATATATATATGTAAATACATAATTGCAAATATTCTATTTCATATTATGCGTATTTAAAGATGTGTTAGAAATATTTTATAAATTTAAAAACTATTTAAATTTATTGAGCCTACTGATAATATAACAACATTTATGCAATAAAATCTTTGTCAAATGCTCTTTACAATGTATTAGTTACGTGCTGTAATTTACAGATGATATTCATGGGCCCTATTCTTTCCAGAGTTATATAGTTATTTGATTAAAAAGTCAGCCCATCTGAAAATTTGAAAATTAAAAAAATAATTATTTAGTTGATTAGCTTAAGACTTCGGTTTTTGTTCAGACTTACGCTTTGTAAAGTTCGGGAACCGTTTTTATCTGTTTAATCTAGGTAGCCGTCAATAGAATATATATTCACAATGTTTAACATGTTTTTTTTCAAGTTTATAAACAATATTAAAAATTGTTAAATAATTTACATATAATTTTAATCAGTAAACATCTTGAAATAAATACAGAACTATTTTTAAAATTATATTTAATTGCTTTTAAAAACCGCAAAATTCTATTGAAGGCTTAATTACAATTTTTCATTTTATTGGTACGTTATTTCCTTTAAAAAAATACATGCAAAACTATTATTGTTTTCGGGTAGCTGCCAAATCAAGCAGGCTATTGATTACAATTTAGGATTGTCAAACAGAGGTCCACGTGTCACTGTTATGTCTGCATACGGCGCAGCTTGTGTAATGTGTAGCGCCTTGAACTTTTTTAATACAAGTAGGGAGTAGAACTTTTGCGCGGCCTGTTTTCTTGAATTTCGAACTGTTAGTTGCGAAAGCGTTAAATGATCGCTGTTGTTAAAGTGAACTCTGACATCAACAAAAAGTTGTGCTGCTCTTTTGTTTAACACCCTCTCCTCGAATTGTTCATCCGTTTCATTTTCCATTTGTTCTTCGGCGGTAGCATTCGGAAGACCCACTGAAGGTGGAAAATCGTAATCATTCCAATCTGTTGAAATCTCGCACGTTTTATTGAAGTTATTGGCAGCAGATATGGATCTAGCTTCAGTGTCATTAAAAATAGAGCTGACTTGGTCGGGCGGCAAATTTGGTATACAATCAATGTCACCGATTCCTCCGTGATGTGGAGTCATTTGTCCATGCTCCAAGCCGGCAGGTGTTAAGTCGCCGTGGTGGAAATCATCACCCATATCTTGATGCCCATCCCGTGGTGTTAATGGTAGTTCATTGAGATTTGAAAAGTTTTCCATGTCATTGAACGATAACAGGGCTGGACTTCGCATATTCTCGAAAATTGCAGCGTCACTTTGCGGTACAAGGCTTTCCCGCTCTTTTGTGCTAATGTCCAAAGACACGGCTGAGAGACCCAACGATTTGTCTTGTTCGCGAATCATTTCGGGAGGAGCCAAACTTTGTGTAAGAATATTATCTGTAGCTTGATCAGCAGTTATATTTGCAGATACATCATTCTTACGCTTGCGTCCCTTTTTATTCACTATAATAATCGAGCTCTCGCCCTCCTGTGCGTACAGTTCCAACGCCAGGACATCCATTGGGGCAATACTTGAAAAGTCCTCCAGGGGCGTCGAATGTGAAAGTAATTGCCGGTTATAATTATTCAAAAGTACTCTAGCGGGTATAGTTCGAGATGGTAGAGCAAACAGCTTTTCAACACCACCCGTCTCCTTCCAATACATTAACCGTTTTGTAGGTGGGGCCAGATCTAGAGTAGTGAGTATATCAGAAGTGTCTGCCAGTTGAGCTTTCATTTCCTCTCCCGAAATATTTTTGATTTCATCAATAATAAGCTTCCGCTTGCGCTTGGCCTTCGTGGTACCCTTGTAGGTAGTTGCATCAATGGGTGCCAGAGCGAATCCTTCGTCATCATTTTGTACAAGAGTTAAGTCATTTAACGCCGCATCGCCGGCAGAGGCATTGACATCTTCATTGAAATTATGGTCTTTTGCTGGAAAATTATCCTCCTTATCATCTGCAACAGAGTTGGCGCAAGAGGATGCCGGCGATGGAGCGTTGTTGAAGTTGTCAATACCATCGTCATCAGAATAGTCTGGTGGATTGTTAGCTTCGTTAATTTCCGTTAATTTATTTATTCCAACTGTTTGCGGCGGCTCGCCAAACAGATCATCCTCAAATAATGTCGGCTGGCCAAAAGAATCGCCAAAACCGTCACCATCCAGACGTTCGCTGGGCATTTCGGACTGTGTTATCGTAATATTTGGATCGTTCGATTCAACATTTGCCAAGACATCATCGTCAAATAGCTGATCATTTATATTGCCCGACATGGGACCACGCATCATTTCCGGTGTGTCTGCTTCAAATCCAATGTCTCCAAAGCCATCGTCCTGCAGGGAGAGCGATAAGCTGCCGTAATCTTCCCTCATTGTTATTTCATCGGCCCGGGATTGGTTGACGGAGAACTGGGCCTCAATGTCAATATCATTCAGTTCAGGCAATGCTGTGTCAAAATCGTGGAAAACTTCTGGTAATGTTATGGCATTAACATTGGCTTCCCTATGGCCTTCTGGTAAGTCCACCATTCCTGGCCTAAATGCCATTTTGATTTTAACAAACGCTTCATTGCAATCTGCCAAAAGATATTTTGCCTTTCTTGAGTAAATGCGCACTACCCCAAGCAGTAAATGTCCAGATGTACGTAGCGCCAATTTTACTTTTGGTTGTAAAATACCCTCCACAGATTTTTCTATATTTGTTTCGAATACGTGTGCTTTTGTAATTTTTTTATCCCAATGAGCTGCTAACCAAATTCTGGCTAGCGGCCCTTTTTTGGCCAATATAATGTGTTCGTAAAACATTATTTATATTATTTGTTACAATATTTTAGGCGATTTAATACACAAACAAAACAGAGATGCACAATTTGCTAAACAACATGGCGACCTAGATGCTACTATAAATTTTCGATAACCATATATCGATATTTTCATATATTTTAACATAACAGAATGTGTATATTTAGTGCAAATCATTAATTAATGTATAGTTTTTTCTTTTAAGAAATTAATTAATAGAACAAGAGCGGTACGCTAGATAAAATTATCACATAGACAAATTAAATATCGATGTGTCCAATGCTACTGTTAAGGCTCTGGTACTTATTTGTTTGATTAAATTTCTCTACAATTTTATATTCAATTCGAAAAAGAATTTAAATCCGATTTTTTTTGTTGTTAGAAAACAATGAGTGTTCGCTTGCTTAGCATTTATTTAAAATGTAAGTAAAAGAGCTTACACACAATTTTTAATGTCGGCAAAATATATTTTGGTATTTTTTAATTTCTATCGCTGGTCACACTGTGTTCACATATGTTTTGTTAAGAACATCAATATTTCTTAAACAATATAAAAATAATAAAAACGCGACAGAAAATGGCCCTTAATGGGTTTTTGGACTTCTTTCAAAAGGGAAAGGTATGTCCAATTTCTATTTGCTGTCAATGTGCAGTCAATAGTTAGAGTATTGATCGTAAATACTTCAACAATGCTTGTTGACATTTGTGTTTTTACAATAAATAATACCACCCGTGAGTAAAATAAATTCATAATTATTCGTTTGTAGACTTTTAGGCCCAAAAAGAGGTTTACCGCTGGTACTATTCGATATTCGCTTCACAAGCAGGCCCAGGCTAGTTTGCAATCTGGTATCAATTTACGGCAAGTTGTGTGCTTACCGGAAGGTGAGAATATGAATGACTGGTTAGCAGTACACGGTGAGTACCTTCCATCAAATAAATGTGTATATACAATTAATTTCTGATATAATTTATTGGGAAATATACAGTTGTTGACTTTTTTAATCGCATCAATCTCATATATGGTACCGTATCTGAATACTGCAACGAGACTACTTGTCCAACAATGTCTGGTGGCTCTCGATATGAGTATTTATGGGCAGATGGAGATATGTAAGTAATCGTGTAATGCGTTATTATAATGTAAATTATTTGCGCCTTCCAATTATAGGTACAAGAAACCCACTGCGCTTCCTGCACAGAAATATATTGAGTTTCTTATGGACTGGATTGAAACACAAATTAACAATGAAGCAGTATTTCCAGTTTCCACCGGTACGAACTTCTCTGGGCATATTTGATCATGTTTCTTTGTTTGTATAAGGGACTGTTGGGGCTGAACAAGCAAAGATCAAATTAAAATGACTTGCCATTTTTGTCAGGAAAAAGTTTTTAATAATAATATTTTGAAATCGATCAAGTTAAAGCTATAAAAATTGCATTAACATATATTAAGCAAATAACTAAAAATCAAAAAACGTTCTAAAGCATACCTAGCGATAGTTGCTTTTCAAGCTATGGAATGTATTCATAGGGCACCCTGTCTGTTTTTGTTTATTATCATTATTATTATGATTATACGTTATTAATGGTAATATCTGTATGCTTGATTTCAGATGTTCCTTTCCCCAAAACGTTTGTGTCACTCTGCCGAAAAATTTTAACAAGATTATTTCGGGTCTTTGTACATGTCTATATTCATCACTTTGATAGAATCGTAACTATTGGCGCGGTAAGTAGTATTTAAACAAAAGTTTCGACTACATATAGTATCTAAATATTAATACATATTTTGTTCGTGTATAATTGCAGGAAGCGCACGTAAATGCTTGTTATAAGCATTTTTATTATTTTGTGCAAGAATTTGAACTGATACCTCCCAAGGAATTAGAGCCACTTCACGAAATGACTTCAAGAATATGTAAAGACAAAGAATAATCATTTTTCAAGCATAATGATAATTCTAGATTTTATAACTTTTAAATCCAAGTCATAATTTTATGTTGATTTTCACAAACTTTAATTTGATATATGATTGTAAGTTAGCCATAAGTCTGTGATGTCCAAAATCTCACCATTAAACCGATTCACAGTGTTCTGATGAACAATTTATTCTTTAAATGAGTTTACACAAATGTAGAAACTTACATAAACCCCTCAACTAAGGTTTAAAAAGTTGTTTTTTATTGGCTGTATTATAAAAAGCGAAACTTATACAGGTGTAGCTGATGGTGGATATTTTGTTGGTAGACTTCGTTTCTTCCATCAGATTATCGTTTGGGTTCAAATGAGTTATATGAAGGACTACGAATTGACTAATGAGGAGCAGCACTTTAATATGAAATATGAAAATACTGGCACTGATTTTGACAAGAACAATGACGTGACATTTTAAGCTCAAGTTCTTTTCTACTTTGAAGCCGTTGGTCGTTACTGTCACTTCATATTAATGGCTCAAAGCTTTCTTGTGACACAATTAAACGTTAATAATCCACACGAAAAGTGAAAATTGTCCAATGTGAGACTAAACTTAAATTTAATTCATAAAAACCCAGGCGAATAATAAATACTTTGAGATATTTAAGTAATTTCTATCATTAAGTCAGAAATAAACTGCAAACAACGAATATGAAACTCCACCCACATAGGCGATTCCACGGAAAATTATTAGGTGTTTTATACACTCTTAATGTGTATACAGCATAAAGCGGCTATAACCAATAACAGTAAAGTAGGGTTGAGCTAACAACCTACAACCACTTTACAAGAACAACCAGCCCGTAAAGACCAATGAGAATAAATTGAAAAGAAGTAGGCAGGGCGACACCTTTTTCTACGAGCCGTGACTACTGTTTTTAGGGGTTGTTTTGATAGTCGAAAAGAGCGAACCCCAAGGAGCGAGCAATTTAGCTACAGCTTATACTATTACATTAAGTATTTTAATTATATAAAATTATGTTTATTTAATTGAATGGAAAATTTGTATTAAATATTATTACTATTGGCTCAAATGAGGAAAGTTTTTCTTTAGATTGAATACGTTTGCCCAATGTAGTGTAATTATGTTTTTAATAATAATCAAAAAATCTTGGAATTTATAAGTTATATATGCAGGGATCAATTGTAGGTTAAGATGGGGAATTAATTGTACTATTAATTGTATGTTTAAGTATGTGCCAATTGCAATACATATTTTGCATCACGGTTGTTGATTTAAGGAATGTGTCTTCTCTCCCAGTGATGTATCTTTCTCATAAAAAAAGCAATGTGATTGCATGAAGCTGAGCTAAATGGCATGCGCAGCAGACAAGAGCGGCATAGAACTTTTCTGAAATGAGTACAGACTCATCTCTGTGTTAGTTTTTATTTGGTTTGGAAAAGGACCTGTAATGCTATTGGCGTTTCATGCCGAGTAGTCGACCGTTTTATTTTGTAAGAGCAACTATGTATCGGAGTAAAAGTGCTGTGAAGATTTTAACATTAAAGAAACCATAATATCGTCTAAATCTGATTGCTAACGAAAATGGAGCAATTAGCACAGTTTGTAAACAAATCGTTTGAATTTAATTTAACTCATAATCGGGTTAATCATTTGTTTAACTCAATGACAAGTGCTCGTGTTCATAAACTAACCGACGCAACAGCAAAGCATATATTAGTCAACACAAATAGATTGGGAAGAATTTCCGTCGATAATTGCACCAATGAGGACGAATCCATGGATATTGATATAACCGATGTTTCTGTTGCGGAAGAAAGCAGCTCTGAAGATAAATCGATCCTACCAAAACCTTTATCATTAGTAAAACTTCGTTCGCTACAGCAGCAATCAATTGCAACTATCTCCAATAATGAACATTTATGTAAGACTGATCCTGCTCCTAAGCCCAAAAACTGGTTAATTTCTGATCTATTGGTGTCCGACGCACATTGGGAAGGTAAAAAAATAAAAGTTAATTTACACATTAACGCGAACACTCCAATTAACAAGTTTACAGTGTATGTCTGACGATATGTTCGTTAAAAGAGTTGTGTAAATAAAGAAAATTGTGTAAAGTAAGAAAGCTACATTGGAGAACTATCAGCCGTAACTCTCTTATAACCTTAAAGTGTATATTTACTAATTTTATGGATAGATTATGTTCATCATTTTTCTTGAGTAAATATGCGTATTGTAAAAGTAATCGATTCTTAAACAGTTTTTAAATCAAAGAGCGGATGATTGAAAGGCGAAAATAATAATCTTAGGATAAATGAGCATTCAACATATATATGCATTTGAGTAGTAGAATGTATGAATGTCATTACAAAAATATTGCGAGTTATTCAGTCCTAGAAATGGCCCATATATTCCTACGCTGCATTATTTTTAGCTGTTCTTTTATTTTCTTGTAATTCGTATTCGGTATTCATAATTTCAGGTGAAAAAGGTGAAAAGCCCAACATATACATATATGCATTTAGTAGTAGAATGTATGAATGTACCATTACAAAAATATTGCGAGTTAATCAGACCTGGAAACAGCCTATATATTCATACCCTGCAACATTCATAGCTATTTTTTTATAATTGGTATTCGGTTTTAATAATTTCAGGTGATAAATGTGAAAAGCCCACTGCTGTTTCCGATGATTCTAAAACGTGTATATTAAAACCAGTTAACAGTAATTCAAGGAGCAATGGCGACCTGAGATCAACATGCCAAGAGCCAGATTGTAAAGCCAGCAGCAAGTGCATAACGGATATGAAAGTTTATGATATCGAAACTTCGCTAAGTAAATATAAACATTTTTTTAAACGATGTAGGCGCGTGCAGTACAAGCTAAAAGAAGAAGTTTTCTTGATTGTGCGGTTGGTGACTCTATGATTGTAGCCATAAAGCAGTGATTCTGGACTGTGTCTAGGAGATATCGATTCTTGTAACTGGTGGGGGCAGGAAAGTGGCCACAATATGTTTGGCCCGATTATCAGAGGGGATCAGAGCGGGTTTTCTTTCCAATTTCGGGTGGTTTATCTATCAAAAATGTGGTATAAGTCACTTTTCGTGGTCTGCCCGCCCCTATTGAGGGTTAGTAGTTTATCTTCAGATCTTAAGGGGATATCATCAAAAGTCTGTCCTATATATCCTTTTATGTCAGCAGCCGAGTTGATCTATATATTTTGTCCGTCTGTTTGTATAAACCCACTCTGTGCACAAACCGGAAAATATATTGATTTGTAATTGTTAGTCTTGCTAATGTGCCAGTCTGCCTTTTATAATTATAGCATTTTTCTTGACGTTATTGAAGCTATTCCACCCGATGACTCCATAACTCATCCGCCAAACAAAATTACGAAAAATATTTTTCGACTTAATTAGATTATAGAACAAACAATAAATTCGGAATGTATATTTACATAAAAGCATACAGAAAATCCCACATACACACACATATACACGGCGGTTATCGTGATCTTTAGATCGTTTGTTGTTACAACTGATTTTCCCAATTTGCCAGTTTGGCGAATGCAAAACATTTCGAACAGAACTTTAGAGGAGGTAACCATTAGGCACACATTTCAAAAGCCCTATTTCAAAAGTGTTGAACAAATTGCTGACGTTGACGTTGCAATATATTTTTTTAAATTTGTGAACGATTATTAAAAGAGAATATTGAAGCGGCAGATCGCCTGTTCAAACGTAGTAGACTTTTATAATTTTTCAATTTCCATTTATGTTGTGTTAATTTATTGGAGTGTTATTTATATTAAGAATCTGCGTTTGAATTTTTTCTTCCAAATATAGAAATCATTAAAAAAAAAAATTGAAAACATATTGACAAAAAAACAGTAAATATATGAAAAATCTGTGCGTAGTTACGATAATATTTAAATTTTTGTGAAAAATGCAGTCATATGAATCCTTTGACAGGCACCAACCAATCATTTGTTTACCGATGAGAGCGTCGGCACTTTACATTGATTCATAAGATTTCAATATAAACTAAACATTTTTCGTTATGATTTATTATAAAAACTTTACAGAAATGAAAACTTCTGCAACAATTACAATCAACTTAAACGAAAGTTCGAATGATAGTAATTCTCCAGAAATATCATTGCATAAGGTGGTCCCTTCTGAAAAATCTTTATCTCCGGAACCACAAACAACAATAGGGGAAAATGTAGCCCGATTAGAACCTTCAGGACTTAGTAGTAAACAGCGACGATCACGAACCAACTTTACGCTTGAGCAGCTCAACGAACTAGAAAGACTTTTCGAAGAGACCCACTACCCAGATGCCTTTATGCGAGAGGAATTAAGCCAGCGATTGGGACTCAGTGAAGCACGAGTGCAGGTGAATATATACATATTAAGAAACTATCATAACTTCAAATAAGCTTCGGAGGGGTAAGTAGATAAAGATAAATATCCAACAGTTAGATCGATGTAAGAGCACAATCAAAATTCAATTTGTATTAATTATAATAGTAGCTAGGACAGGCAAGATTTACTTTTGCCGATTTTAAGTAAAGTCCTGTAACAAATTTGCCTTTTCAACCACCAGCCTACCAAGAGATATGGGGTGTTAAGTGGTTTACGCCGCCCTTCGTTACAATTATGCCCAAGCAAGAAAATTGTAGAAACAACAGGGGGCCGATTACAACTTAAATGCTCAATCAGGGCGACTCTTAATGGACCGCTATGTGGTAATGTATGAACAACGTACTGGTTCTTACAAGTGCAATAAATTACAAGTCCCTTCTACATACTTACAATAAATTTATTCTAACTAATGGATATGAGCAATGGTAACACTTAGTTCTCCAAACTTTAGATATGGCCTGTCAAATATCATGTAGCTATCGTTGTTGCGATAATGGTTTCTAAGATTATTATCATCTAAGATGGTAAAAAAGGCTAACCTTCAGTTTATCATATATACGCTTATACGTTTCTTTATAGTCGCGTTTTCTTTTGTTTGCTACTTTAAGTGGTCCATGGGGGTATTAAGCCAACCGTGGTACACAAGATACAATAACGGAAACTTGGTGTAAATTATATATTGTCTTTAAACTCGCAGACAGCAGAAAGCTATCGCTTTTTAACTATCTATTACACAGTCTTAGAAACTCTGTTGCTAGGCAGAAAATCAATTCAATTGGAATCAACAAATTATTTTTCTAATAAAAACACTTGATTCAAATATGAAGTATTTTTAAAAGGATAACATTTCTTTTACATATTTTTAGGTTTGGTTTCAAAACAGAAGAGCCAAATGTCGAAAACATGAAAATCAAATGCATAAAGGTAAGTAAGCCGTATGACAATCGTGTTCTATATGCAAGAAATTATCTTGAAGAAACTAGAATATATTTTGGGAAATCTAAGGTTCTACATTAAACCTTTAATTAATCAAAACTGTGAAAATTTGGGTAAACTTAAAAGTTCAAGTTATCCTCGACATAAATTATACAAAAATATATTGTTTATAATCGAAATAAGAGTTCGAATTGGCAGGGAAAGGATAGCGCCCGCCAAAAATTGACCAGTTATTCCTAAAAAGTCATTGAAAATATGGCTAGAGGTCGTTTGCCGTCGCTAAAATTTGTATTTGGCGACAAGGTGTTGTTATAATAAAAAACGGCGTATAAATTCGCACTCAGCGTAGCTTCAAACGCAGCGAATTGCTCTTTTATAATGTACACGCGAATGGGTAACAATTCAGAAACGTTGTATGATGTTGAAATTAAAATTATCGCTGTTTTGAAATTCGCATCTGCCGTGATTTTCCCCGAATTCCCCTTCGGATATACTGTGTACCGCCGTGACAGCGACACAAATCATTGCCAACTTAATCAAATTAAATATTCCAGCCGTAAAAGTGGAAAATAAAAATGTTATCGGCGAAGCTGGGGCGTTGATGAATGAACATGAAGCAATCAGAGTAGAGGTTGGTTGGGTGAGATCTTGATGTATTAATGATGATACATTTAAATAAACTGTGAAACCATGACATATTGTGCTAAACAGTTGGTTAAATACAGACAGGCTAGAGACATTAGGACAACTGTGGCATTACAGCTAAGCTGTAAACTTTCAACATTTACTTAACTAATTGCCATGTTCTTTTAAATTTACATAAATTAAAATAATCTCCATGTTGAATATAGCGACAGAAGGATTGTGGCTTAGGATGGCATTAGCAAGGGTGCACATAAAATTAAAGAAAAAGGAATAGTGCAGATAAAATTGAAATAAGACTTCAACAATTTTCAATCTCGGAGAGTGGGTCCTTAAAGTCATAACTTCTTGGTATATATACTCTTTATTAATAGATACACGTAGGAATATTACATTTACGCATTTGTGAATATGTAATTAATGATTGCTTCAACGTCGATGTGGCCTTGCTCTCTCCACTTACCTCCCCCTTTGCCTTCACTAACTAGCACCCAGCTGGCTTTGTAGCACGAATTTGTTAAATATGACTTTATGACTTGATTACATAGCACGACGGGGACTCAGTTGCTTGTTGTCATGCCACAGACACAATTTATTTGTACATGTGCATATGTATAGCGAGCGAGTATTCCCCGGCCTTGCCCGTGGCAAGTTTTTGCTGTACATTTTAGACTTAACTTTTTCACCCAGTTTCCTGCCGTGAAAATACTAATCTGTTTGAAAATTTATTTGGGGTCTATCGAATTAAGTACTAATAGTTGAAATTTTTAATGCACGCCCGTGGATTATTCGAAAAACGTATCAAATAAATTATCACAAAGATCTCTGAAAATGAGTTTAAAGTTTGAATTTAAGAAGTAAACAAAAAAGTTTCAAATTTTCCGCTTAATTTCCACAGTTATAGGCGGAATTCCCAAAGTGTTCATTAAGTTCTAATGAGTTTGAGGACTTTAAAGATAAGTTTGAAGCAAAACTGAACACTTCGACACAAAAATCTTTGAATCGAATTTTTCACAGAAGAAGCTTGTTCTCTGCAAAAAGTGTGGCACATACCTCCACTGAGTTTTTTTTAAAAATATTCGGAAATTCATTTGAATACGAAGCGTCCCCATATCTTTGATCCCCAATTATACCCTAAAATGGATTTTCTGAGAAGTGAGACACCTCGTGAATCAAATTTAGCACAGATCTTTGAAGATGGCAAACAAAAAAGCTTCATATAACTCTTTTCAGAGGTTTTTCCACACTAGGGGGTGGAATTTCCTAAAAGCCCGTCTACCACATAAGGCAACTACAGTGAAAATTTCAGCTTGTGGGTGCTGATCACCAATCAGTTAGTCAGACAATTAGGACGAACAGTTTTATATATAGAGAAAAAGGGTATAGTAAATTGGAGTACTTTGGCTTTGGTGTATACTACGTTTCTATCTTATTTGATTTATTTATTATATTTGATAACTTTATTTTTCCAACAACAAGAAAGGTTCTTATGGCCAATCGATAAAGAAATGGTGTTATGTTGTGCCCTATATCAATGATTCAATAACCGAGGTTAACTAAAGTTCATATGAATGTACATACATAAATTGTTGAGCAAAATGTTCTTAGGGGGCAGAACAGTCCAAGCCCGCAGCAGCAAAAACAAAGTAATCAAATTAAAATTCGAATAAAAAAAAGAAAACACCTTTTTCATACAGAGTAAGGCATCGTTTTATGGGCTTATATCAATTCTCAGACTTTTTATCGCCACGAAAATAAAATAGCCCTAAAAGCAAAACACTGCATAAATGACGAAGCTAACCTGGTCTTGGCCTTGTGGTCCCTTGAGTGTCATTTTGATATGTGTCCGTCTGGCCTTGGTCCAGAGATGGGGGTGCAACAGCAAATTGCGGCAGTAAGAGCGAGAGTATCAAGCCCTCAACTCGAGGGTGTTTTCATGGCAATAAATTAGAAAATGAATTCAATTACTTGTCACGAGTTTTTGTACCGATTTGCCAAATTGGGATGTTCATTTGTATTTATGTACTTGTATTTAGGTGTGTGCTTATGTAAATTATTTACACATAGCATCATACTTTTTCAAGAGCAAGTTCTACTATTTGTTAAGGGCAGTTCTGAGCAAAGTGGCCTGCGCTTAAATAAATGATACTAAAATGTTGTGCTGTATACCTAAGACCCCGAAGACACAACATATTCGCTATAGTTATCAGATCTTAACTTGACCTTTATAACCGATAAGAGTTTATGAGAGCCTGTGTATTACTGCAAAAAGTAAAAATGCAAACATCTGGATAATTTCTGAAAGCGACGCGTTCATACAGACGGACATGACTAGATCGACTCGGATGTTTGTCGGCCTGAAGACGCTTTTGTCTGCCTGGTGCATACTTTTGTACAAAAACATTATACCTCTATACCCATCTAATTGGGTTTTTGGTATAAAAATATGAGTACATGATAAATTAAATGTTTTGGTAAAAGTGTCGGAAATAATAAGATATACGGATTTACTTACATACATATGTACTTAATACTTCTTTTGATTCATGCAAAATATGTTAAATATTGCAGGTATATTACTAAGCAGCCGAAGCCCGCCGGTGTCAACGCCTCTCGAGCCTTGCCGAGTGGCACCTTATGTAAACTTGGCTACTATCCGCAATACAAATACGTCTATTATGCCATCAACTAACGCTTTAAGCAGTGTGCAGCATCAATCCGGGAAAAGTGCCGTCAGCATTGTAAATAATCGGGCTCCGTCACCAGCGGCTGTAGTGTCGGCCGCAGCTGAACACTTTTCCGGCAGCGTTGCAGCAGCAGCAGCATTTTCCGCCTTCGATCCAGCAATTTTATCCGCTGCTGCACACCAGGTAGTGGCATAAAGCATAATTCACGAATTGAGTTACTTATGTGCTTTTGTGATTTCAGTATGCGGCGGCAATAAGTAATAGAAGCAGACCCGCTGGACTTTTCGCATTGCCGCAGTATCCGCTTCATTTGGCCGCATTTGCCGCAGCGCACAAGAATTCCAGCATAGCGGATTTACGAATGAAGGCTAAGAAGCACTCCGAGTCATTGGGCCTTGAAGCAGATATAGTTATTTAGTACATACTTTACGAACTAAATTAGAGTAAGACTAGTCTAGAGTTGTCTAGTTTAAGCAATCTACTATTTTATTGATATTGAAACAATTGCAATAATTACATTTACCATACTATTACCAGATGTTTACTATCGATTTGTTTCAATAAATAAATATTTAGTTGTCTTGTTTTTTAAGTTTTGCTTAAGTTTTTGTATGTACGCAGTTTTTCAATTCGGTGAGACAAAACATATTTCATAATTAGAATTTAGAATTTACGGTTCAAACTGTCTCGACTCTAGAGCCAAATCAAAAGTATGACACGAAAATACACACATTTTAGTACAAGAAAAATACCAAAACGACAGTTGATATAAATCGTCATCGATAACAGAAAGTCTAAATCAGTCTTCTGTTATGTTACAAATTCTAAGATGAGGAGCAGTCTGTTAACATTAAACGAGATTGAAAAGGAACAAAATTAAGATTAAATTATTAATTAATTTTGCACATCGTGCATGTGGCAGGATTAAACAGTTGTAAGCTCATAAGGAACATTAACTACATGAAATCAAATAACAAATTACATTAAGACGTAACAACTATAATAATTTAAATTGAACACGTTATTTTTAATTCATATTTAATTTAACATACGACACCGATTATATTTTGTATAACTTTTTTTCTAATTACGCTGACCTATTTGAAACACGGTTAAAATGTGCAGTATTCTTCAGATACAGTATTTTGTTACTCTAACCGTAAATCAGTATTTTAGATTCGGAGGATACGGTCGCACTCTAACTTTCACAACGAAAATATTTTATTTTTATTTGTTATTTCTTTTCATTGAAATAGAACTAGACAATTTAAAATTTAATAACAAGTTATATTACAAACGCAATGTCAGTATGTTAATAAATGAAATTTACGATGAAGGGAAAGTGCTAAGATTCGAGCTAACAAGCCATCCCATTGGCAGCCAAGATCCGATCTCCATCTAAAGTATGAAACGAACATACATAGAGTGAAAATAAAGAAGTGACGTTTGCACTGTCTAGACTTTGAAGGTTGTTTTTTTTTCGTTTTTGTGACTTGTAAGTTATTTCTTGGGATAATTTACACAACTAATGTGTGTATGCAATTAAAATATGTTTATGCTGTGAAGTTTGACCTTTATGCGAATTATATCCTGCTCAGTTACTTGATTTCATCTATATATATTAATTATTAATAATATAAAAATTAAATGTCGTTGTTGCCAGTTGCGCATTCGCATCCTCAACGTCAGATGAAGCGCAGGGGCTGAAATTGGGGTGTAGTCGTTGCTTGCTCATTTCATTCATTTGTTGCGCTTGTGTCTGTGCGTATTCCAACATGTATGTACATTAATACAAGTATACATACATTGAGATATACACATACATCTTCTTTCTTTTCTTCTATAACGTTTACTCCAAATAGCATAATTTCTTGATGTTTGCCCAACTCTTTCTCTCTACTTTTTTTTTTTTCTTTATACGTCAACTTTTTTTTGATTGGAAATGCACGTAATTTACACTTTCTGCTTGGCTGACTCAATTAATTCTTTTAGTTTAGTTACTGTCGGTGCTCTATTACCTTTTGCTTACTTATAAGATACGCAGTTGCGCATTCAATTTGTGCAACAGCAGCAGTAAGCGTCAGTGAAGTCATTAGCCCCTCAAAAGCTAGACAAACTAAAGCTAGCTTTAAGCTTTGCTGCTCTACTCCCGTTTTTACTCCCACTCGATATTTGTTTTGGTTTCTTTTTTATACCACGAACCCATTGAAAGTGGTTAAAGAGAGTATAATGGTTTTGTAGAATTTAATGTCACAAATTTATCCGACTATATGCTTATGTTCTTGATCAACATCAACAGCAGAGTCGATCTAGCTTTTGTTGTTATCCGTCAGTTTGTATAAACGCGTCGATCTTAGATACTATAAGAGCTAGAGACTTGAAATGTTGAAGGTAGATTCTCTTATAACTGGAAAATATTGAGTTTATTCAAAGCTTCTGTAACTTGCCCCGTTTCCAAGAATTGGATATCGACTTCCTGGTTTTGGTCATATCTCGGAGTTTAAATGAGCTAGACACACTAAATTTTAAAAGAAGACACAGTCAAACAAATTATTTTTGGTACATATCCCTAAGCTTTTAATATTAAAGCTTAACATGTATAAAATATTGGTATAAGTTGGGTTTGTAAATACACGTAGTTAAATGTGTTGTATAGCACTGTCAGTTTCCGTATATTTTTAACCATTATTTTAGACCACCTATTCTTAGCTTTATGAAATTATCAAATTATATGCAGAGCATCACCTGTCCCTTGCACTTTTAACGAATTAAGTCTAACATTTGTAAAATCTTGTCTTTTAGCTAAACCATATATCTACTTATTGTACATTGAGTAAGGTGATAAAGATGTTGTGATGGCGAAAATGGCATCTGGTGACCTTTCGTTGACCAGCACAAGCAGTCAAGAGGGTGAGTAGTAAAGGACAAGGCGTAATTAATGCGACAAGGAGTATCTTAATCCTTTTATTGTTGCAGAAGAAAGTTCTGAATATGTGGGCTATGATAACACACTGCGACCGCCTTCCAACTCCAGTGGTAGCACAACAGCCGCCAATATGGCCAACAATAATGGACCTACCAAGGTTGTCAGCAGTGTAGGAGGCGTTGGGGGAGTTGGAAGTAATGTTAAGAAATACGAACTACTACAGTCACAGTATGAATCAGCGATGTTGGAGCTGGGCACGCTGCGGCACCAGCATTCCAACTCGGAGCGGCGTTGTGATGAACTGGCCACGCAATTGAATCTTTATCAAGAGCACTACATGGCTGATCGTAATAAGTTTACGGACATTGTGGCTGAGAGTGCACGCCTAAAACACAAATTGATGTTGCTTGAGAGTCAAAACCAGAACAATGGAAATGCTTCAGCTCCACAACAGTCAACAACCAGCAGCAACGCGTTTTACTATAGTAAGATGCAGACGCCTTGCGATGGCAGCTGCAATAGCAGCGAGAAGTTGGCGGAAATGAAAAAGGAGCGCAATCTGATAGCTATGGAACGTGAGAAATACAAGAAATCATACATTGAGCTAGAAAAGGAGCGCAACTTTTATCGCGAACGCGGAGATGAGAATCAAACTCTTAAAATGCTACTGTCCAAGGAGACAAAGCACGTTGTTTCATTGACCGAAGAGCTAAATCAGCTTCTCTCCGAGAAGGACAACGTGCTGCAAGAGCATCAAAAGATGTCTGATGATCTGGCGCTAGCCAACAAGGAAATCGACCGTCTTAAAAAGGATGAGCTTGTATACAAGAACGAATTAAAGTCCTTGCAGTTAGCAAATGCAGAGCATAAGAAGCGTGATCTACTGAAGTCGCGGGAGAGCAGCTGGTCTAAGGAGTTCAATAATGATAATAAAGAGGAGTTGGAAAAATTACGTAAGAGCCTTGACAAGGCTCAGTCTGAAGTTGAGCGCGCGATGCAGGATACCGAAGAGGCAAAACGTGTGCGCGACTGGGCAATCTCACAACGTGAGAAAATCGTACAGGAGCGTGACTCAGTAAAGACGCTCTGTGATAATTTGCGCAAGGAGCGCGACAAGGCGATATCCGATTTGTTGATGGCCATACGCGACAGTGAAAAAATTAAAAAGCAAAAAGATGAGGCACAAAAGAAAATTGATGCACTCAAGGAGCAGCTTGAGAGTCAAACAACAACAGCGATGCCTTTCGATAGCGCCTCACGTCGCAGCTTTCGCTTAAGCAGCTTTGAAAGCGGCGAAGATCTGCTGGAAATTGAATTGTGCAACTACCATGACTCAGATCTGGGCATAATACTAGATGATAGTAACAAGCGTCAGCTGGTTTGTGGTGTCACCAATAGTTCGTCTGCGTTTGGCAAGCTTAAAATTAACGATGTAATATGCAAAGTAAATAATTTGGAATGCCAGGGCGTATCAAAGCGCATGGTTCTAGACGAAATACGCGCATGTGCACCGCGCTGTCTGCTGCTCGTATCACGCACTCGTCACAGCAAAAGGCACTCGTACGCTGTGCAGCTTAAAACGAACGGTCGTGATGCCATCGGCTTGCAGCTAGACATGGGTGTTTTTATAGCCAAAATAGAGCCCAATTCGCTGGCCTTCTACGAGCCGGAGCTGGATGTGGGGGACCGCGTGCTGAGTATAAACAATAAATCAATGGATTCGTTACAGTCGATTGATGAGGTGATGCAGTTGCTTAACACCGACACTGTCAACATATTTGCTTTAAAGTATGTGCCGGAGCAGCAGTCCGATACGCACTGCCGCATGACCAGCTCATCAGCGCAAACCGATAGCTCCATTGACTCCATGCAACAGTTAAATAGTAGCAGCGGTGTTGCTAGTGGTAGCAGCAGCGCTGCGAAGCATCCGTCCAAATTTGCAGACTTTCTCCGTAAACTGAAATTCAGTAAACCGGGTACTGCCGATGATAGCTTTGAGCAGGAGCACGATGTGGCCATTGCTGCCTTAGATTCAGTGCTCAGCGAAAATAGCTCCGAGAAGAGCAAAGAGAATCTCTTCAAACGCCACAAGCGCGGAAAAAAGGGAGAAAAAGAGGCGAAAAGCATGGGTACCTGGCCCCGTACCAACATCTCACACGATAATCCAACTGGCACTATTGTCCAACGAGGTGGTGAAAAAAAGCGCGCGCTTATGTCACTCTTTACCGCTGGGCCCATCAACGTGGATAAGGATGATGATGTCGTAGATCAGGTTGAGACAAAACCGCAATTGCAGCTTCAGGAGCTGCCGCCGCCACCGTTGCCACCGCAGCTGTCCAAGCCGCGCAACCTTAATGGCGGTATGATCAAAACGCATCCCAATCGCAATTCTAACCCTGTTGGCAATGTGGTGGCATCCACACTCTTTCAGCCGGGCAACGTGGGCGTAACTTATCCGCGACATTCGCTATATGGAGGCGTAGTTACGTTGCCGGAGGACAAGCAGCAGATGCAGCGACCCGCACCGCTAATGGGCGCCAATGCGCGCGTGAAGCTGCACGGACAAGAACGATCTAACCGTTTACACAATCCACATCGTTTTTCGCTGAATATACCACCCAGCGGAGGTGATTTTTATCAGCCCAAAACCAGCGGCCAGCAGGCACAGCAGCAGGTCGTCCCAGCAGTTGCAGCCGGTGAATTTCCATCCCGCAAGCAGCAAATGTTTGATATGTTTCAGCAGCCAGCGCCGCCGCTGCCATTGCCTAAA